AGGGGATATACCATTATGGTTTGGATCAGAGTGGGTAGGCGACAGGGTGTTGTAATATGATCGATTGAGGATACACTTGCATTTGTCTTTTGAAGGAGAGATGCGTGGATGAGACGGGATGTTTGAATGATACCGATGCTGCGACGATTCAAGTGCTTGGAGTGTTTGACACTTCAATATGGATCATGAGAGATGATATTGCATACCTTGTTTCCAGTCTATCCGAAGAGACTACAAGGTGAGTACGATGCGTAAGTTGCGCTTACTAAATCACGAAGCATCACAAGATATCTTTCTCGCCTTCTTCACCACCACAATACGTTTGCGCAAGTGATGTCCAGCGCAATACTGAGAGCTGACTATGTTGCCATTGCCTCTTCTCATCATGCTCTACAGCAGTTGTTCGCCCCGCCGGATAGCTGAGCCTAATCAAATTCGCATCCACAAGGCTTGCTGGCTGATGCGTTCTCTGTGTGGAGCAGTCAGCGTCAGGTATGCTAACTACCTTGATTTGGGACTTACCAATCAACAGGGGCAGTGCTGATATGCAGCTGCAGCCTTCGAGGGGGTGCAACAGAGCGCTTACTCCTCAGCCTGACTGCTTTACGACCGATCCCTTTCTACTTCAACCTAACGCAACTACTTATAGAGCTATAGTTATTAAGTTATGGCGCGTTGAAGTCGCGTTGTGAAGACGCGTAATAATGTTCGGCGGGGCACAACCCGAATTCAGGCACGACGCGCACGAGCACGGTAATTGTCGATCGCACTAAAATCGTCCCGACAACCGTGCGCCCTCATGCACCTCTGTCCCTGTCCACACCTTCACTATTACATACACAGAAACATTACTAGTGAGATGATGTCACATGCCAGTGACTACGCTGTGAGAGTTTGCCTCCACTATACCATCTTAGACATGTTTCACTCTTAGCGCCAGGCACACCACCAACATTTTCGTTTGCCCCGTACCCGTGGCTGCGCCTCTCTGAGTGGCATAGCTCTATTCTTACCATTTGACTGCTTAGCTCCGGCGCCTTTATTAAATTCTCGGTAGCCACATATTCATGGAAGAAATCTTACGACCAGTTCCCGAGCAGATAAACACAAACAAGTTCCAAAAGACTGTCAGACATGGCCTTCAAGCTAGAACCTGGCATCGAGTATTTGACCCACAATGTAAGCCAATTCAATACTAACCTGAGATCACTACTCATCACCTCATTAGGACTCTGAGCACGACCATGTCGAATCCGCCGACGGCTACGAAGACTGCAGGGCTTGCGAATGTGCGAATGTGAAAGAGACAGGACCGCATTGCGAACATTGCTATCATTGCGGGCCGTGTTCGACTGCAGTGGCAATGGGATGTCGTCCATGTCCTTCTTGCTTTGACAGAAGTATCTATCCATCATATATACTTCGCAAGCGCAAGGGGAGCGACCCGTATGACATGAGGGGAATGGAGGACGATCCCGAAGCACGAGAATTCTATGCGAGCATGCCATCGCCTGGAACTCCTAATTACTATGAGCCCGACTTCGAGCTTACCGGGGACGAGGAGCACAATGAGGAACATACCAATGATGCTTCGACACATCACGAGTTCGATCCCACGGAAGATGGCGACATCGCAGCATATGAGTATTATGAGACTATGGATTCACCGGGGTCACTGAATATCAACCCTGTCACTCCGCCTCCAGGGGACGAAGGAGAAGAAGAAGAGGCTATGGTTGATCATGTCGAAGTGGCAAAGACGTTAGAGGACACATCAGCGACACGGTAGCATATAGAATCTTATTCGATCACTGCCATCTCATACGTCTGCTCTACAAAACGCTTTTTTGATACAAGTTCTACTCTGTTTTATCTTTTGCTAAGTTTGCGGAAATCCGAATACAAGAGAGAAATTACGCCTGTCCACCTCATATCTACGGTTTGCAAAGCGGCGAGCAAAACGGCGCTCCACACCACCCTTGGACACAAGGCTTTGTAGAGGGCTTTGGCTCCGGTGGTGGTGGTGGCGGCGGCGGTGGTGCAGCAGGAGGCGTCGGGGTAGGAGTAGGCGGTGGTGCTGCAGCCGGTGTTGTGAAAGTAATGAGCGAACCCGTCTCCTCTGGTGTCCACGGGCAAGGATTTGTCGCAGACGGCTTTACATACCACATAGTTGCATGGTTATCACCGCACTGGCAGTATTCCTTTGGTTCGCGAACCTGTCGTGGTGCAGCGCTGCTAGCATATCAGTAATTGTCCTCATCTCCAGCCATTGACTTCGCAAAAAAAACTCACCCATACAAACAATACGGGCCCGTGTCCTCCTTCTTATATCCTGGCACCTTGCTCTTGTCGCCGCCCCAGATTTTGTCCAGCGACTCCTTGGCCTGCTTCAGCAGCGTGTCCGAGCTGGGGACTTCGGGAAACGGCTCGTCGGGTTCGGGCTCCTGCCGGTCGAACTCAGGGGCTTCGCAGCCACAGCCTTTGAATTTGTCGGCTTGACACTTGTCCTTGTCGTCGCCTTTGCAGTCGTCGGCGTCGCACGTGGGGGCTTCCGCGGGACAGCATTGGCAGCCTTTGAGTTGGCCGTTGGCGTTGCACTTCAAACCTTCATTCTTGACTGGATATTAGCATATTTTTGGGGAATGCTTGGAAAGGTACTTACGCTTCCGGAGCAGTCTTGCGCAGAGCATTTCGGTGGGCCGTCCTTGGGGCAGTTTTGCTCCTCGCATGGGCCTTGACTTGGGTTAGTTCGGTGTCACTTCACCCATGGACGATCTACTTACAGTTCTGCTTGTCTCCTTTCGAACACAATCCCAAAGGAGTGTTGCCACCGCAGTCATCGCAGTCTGGCTTGTTTCCGTTGTTTTTGCATGTGTTGTCATCCTCTCTTGAACCTTCCGGTTTCTGCGGAGGAGGTTGAAACACAATAGCTGCTGCTGCCGCATTTTGAGCTATCAACGTCAGCATATTCGTCATTCTAGCACTTACATGGCGGTACTTACATGCAAGGTACCATGCGACACCGCCAGCGAACACGACGGCAGCTACAGTCTCAAGCCCTCCGTTTGCGCCACTGGCCGTAGCAGTCTCTGTCAGACTAACAGTGGTCGATGCTCGAAGTCCCTTGTACTCGTCAAGTGTCATCGGCTCCCAGACAACAGTTCCAGTCTCGCCATTAACGACCGAAGTCATAGTAACCTTTGGACTGTTATCTGGGCCACCGTTATCAGAGCATTGGCAGTAGTAGCCGCGACATGGCTTCCCGCCAGGGCAGAATGACTGATCACCAGATACGAGCAGATTGTTGCAAGTGCCCTTCACCTTAGAGTCGCCACCGCACATGGAGCACTGCTTTGGATCTTCCTTGAAAAATTCTGGGCAGAACGCGAATGGGATCTGCTTGGCCTGTCGCTTCGCTTCGAGTTCGAGGTTGCGGCGGGAAGGTTTAATCTCGCCATTGACCGTGACTCGATGAGGAAGAGACCATTGTGTCGGTTGCGGATCTTGGGAGGAGAGCTCGGGCAGCTGGACTGGGGACAAGTGCGGCGAGACCTTGTGGGATGAAAGAAGTCAAGAGTGAAGCAAAGATGAGGTTGTAGGTCCTCATGATGGCTATCTTGCTTGACAATGTAGAATGGTGAATTGATACTGATTGAGCACTCCTGAATGAGGGTGATATGATGAGCTTATGAAGACCGTAGCGTCTGTCACCTCATAGTGCACTGCCGTTCGATCTTACACTATAGTATCATTCTCCGTGCTCTCTTCGTCAAAGACCGTTCCTTGGTCATCAAGTCTTTTTTTGGTCGTTCGACTTGATCCTATGCATAGCCTCTGAGTCAACCTTGCGATAACTCCCCGATGTTCGTGTTGGAGTCGCCTTGAAGCATGACATTTCGCCCCAATCCGGTGTTGGATGATGAGCGTGATACAGGCAGTAAAATTTTCCATCTCACGGTAGGCCTGATGTTAGTGGAGGTGCGCACTTCCGCCGACTGGACAAGACCTCAACTCACGTGTCTCAAAAACGCCGAAAGCATCAGGCCACCCTGCGTGCAATGTCTTCACGAACTGTTCTCCACGTGTTTCGGTACCATGTACCCTTGTGTTGGGACTTGAGATTGGTGATGTGCCCGCCTTACACAGATACTAAGTTTGGCTCTCGCCCTACCGTACCATATTGGTAATCGGACCGTATGCGTGGCTGAGCTTATTTTTTCTTAACGTTTGTGTAATTTGGGTTTACCGGATTGAGTCGTAGTGTGGCGCAGCCACCACACCCGGGGCCAATCGAACTACGCCCAACATCTCGGACCCCGAGATCTCACACTTCCAACCTGGTGGAACACGATGCATATGGGTTCGTAAGAAATCTGAAATCTGATCCAGCATATGATTGGTTTGTATGAGGCTGAGCTGGAGGCCTTGTATTGCGCTGTTTCATTTAGCTGCACAGAATCAGGTACCGCATCCATTTACATCCTGGTAACGATCACTCATCATGGTCTATGCTCGCGATACAGTGTTAGCGTAGGCATTCTTGTCGAATGTCACGGCGCTGTGGCCCGAAATGCTCCTCAAGTTTGACATTCTCAGCTATGCTGCGACATGTATAAGACGAGTGAGCTGTCGGAACTTGAAAACAAACTTCACATCTTTCTTTTCTATCGCACCGAATACTTTCAAGTCATCAGCATGTTGTCTGTTTCCAGACTAGCGTACTTGGTGTCCGTGCTGGCGGCCACTGCGCGGTCGAGCATCATCGTTATGAATTGCAACCAAGGAACACAAAGTCAAGATGTTGACAACGCCATCAAGGACGTCGCAGAAGTTGCGAGAGGTATGCAATCCAGCCGTCACTTTCAAATATCTACTGACGTAAGATTCAGTTGCTGCTGCGGCTCTCGTGTCCGGCAAGATCAATGGCAAAGATGATGTGTTCGCCGCGGCCTATGATCCTCTAATGTATCCACTAGATCGACCCGGTTTGGCTCGTAAGTATCCCGCCCAGGATCTTGCTTATCGTAGCGCTCTCACTAACAGGATGCGACCTCAATAGTGACCCTAGGTGCAGTAGCCACCCTTGGTAGCTCAACCACTCTCAATGTCCAGATATATTGCAGAGAGAACCACATCCGTTACCACAAAGATGACCCGAAAAGTTACTGGGAGGACAGAGACTACTACAGCAGAGCCAATGGCAAGATGATGCCTATTGGGGTTGCAAGAAACTCAAAGGACAAACCTGGCGTGAAGGGATCCTATACCACTCTCGGTAAGTCACAAATGGCTCGAGGCTGATCAGCAAAAATCGCATACATGATACATTCTATTTTGTACATACTTACAAGACTATACAGGCTACAAGGCTAACGACGCATACGACACCTCCGGCATGGCGCATATCTTCCTCCACCCACGGCGCCTGAGCCCACCAGCTGGGACCGATAGAGACCTGCGCCGCTACCCCGACATCGTCAAAGACGGTCTCGACGGCAAGCATAACAAGATTGAGGACATCAAGCCCTTGGCACAGACTCTGCTGCATGAATTGATACACGCCGTTGGCGGCTGTAAGTAGTGACCCAACCTTTTGTGCTGTACCTTCACTGACACGGTACGACAGTGGGCCCTCCAGACCCAGTCAACAAGAAGCGAGACATGGCCATCCATGATGGGCCGAGCGGTAGCCCAAAGGTATATGGTTGGGCAGCTTGCAATGCACGCAGGACGAGAAACGAGAAGAACAATGATATTGCTGATTGTATCACCTTTTTGGCGCAGGCAATCTATCTCCAGATTCAGGGTAAAGATACGTTCTGGACGACAGGGGAGATAGACCCTAAGACTTTGCGCCCTAAGCAAAATCCCTAGAGGAGAAGGAGCGTATGTTGGATAGTTTTCTAGGCACGGATGATCTCTCGGGAATATTGGCTCGTAGATCCTCTTGAGTGCAAAAATTTGTTCGAATTCCTCACTTCTGAAACAAAAGCGAGGTTGAAAAGGTTTCGTTTTTAAGATCTCAACTGGTTTCGAGCAAGACAAACGGACTGCAAACAATTGGTTGTTGAGGTTGACGTTGGTAGCAAATATTTCTTGTCCCATGGAGGGCACCGAGTATCTGATCAACTTAACAAAGAAAGGACCTACGAAACGTTGTCAAGCTTCCGCGATCACAATAATCTTCCAGCCAGCAGTGAAAGATATTTTGCAGCGACAGTAAGGTTGAGACCTGAAATGTCCCTTGGTAATTGGAACCCGTCTCGCAATCTCCCCAACTTTGATTCCCGCTCTTCGGCGCGTAGATAAGGTTACACCAGTATACGGCCGGTGGGTTGCCCAGGGTTTGTCGGATAATGAAGCGCCGTATTGCGACACAGCCGCTTAAGGAACGCGAAAAAAACTCAAAGTGATGCAGTCGTCTGAAAGGACAAGAAGGGCAGGTCAGCTATGGAAACGCCTCGTGAGGTTTCCTTTAAGCATTGAGGGACATATTGGCCTGCTATCGTTGCACCTTCCGACGGCTCCAAAGGCGGTGTGAGTAAGCAAGCCGTGATTATCCCTCTCTTTATTCACGCTAGTATGCCTCGACAAAATTCCTGTCCCCCTTCACCCAATGAGAAGGGCTAAGAGATAGCCTAGATACACTTAATAACTTTCACAAAAGTAGGCGAGATATCTTATAGCTTTAAATATATTTAAGCTTCTTTATAAACGTCTTAGTGCGCTCCTATAGACTGTCAGATTACTCTGCGCATGTGCAGAACAGACAAGAATCTGGCCACTGCCAAACTAGTCCTTGTAGCTTTCGAAGCACGATGCTGATGTAGTTGTAGAGGATCTACAGCACATCTGGCCAATCCAGCGAAGCTACCAAAGGCTACCGAAGTTTCTCAAAATACAACGAAGCGCTCTGAGACACTCGCATGAGCGATGGTTTCCAGCAGCTACGATTTGATCATAGTAGGAGCCGGTGATTCACCCTCTGCGGTCCACCTTTCCCCCTAGGTTTGGCCGAGTCGCAGGACTCTCGAGAATCATGGCCGCACAGCGCTTCCTCGATGCCCATCCAAACGCAAATCTTGTCATCCTCGAGAAATATGGCGACATCATGGGCTTTTCCGATTGTCGTTAGTTGAGGAAAACATTGGAAAACAAATCAAGCCACTAATGATCGCTAGGTAGAATGCATGATGGATTCTGGACGCAGTGTACACACGGTCTATCGGAGTTCTCAGACCTACCCATGACGCGTCCGCACAAAGCCGATGCTGTCACGGTTTTTTACCGTGCAAAATACACAACTGGCTATCGGGAAGAGTATTGCACTTGGCAGGATGAGCGCGGACGGTGTCTGTGCGACTGCATGGTCTTTAACGCCAACCTTGATTCTGTCAGGAAAGTCAACAATGCGTGGAACGTCCGCGTCGAAGCTGCAGTTTTCGCGACAACAAAATTGATGGTTGCTAATGGGCTACTACCAGGTAAAGAAATCTTTGGTGGGGCGATAGTACACACGGAAGGTTTTGGAGACAGCAAGATGATGGAGAACTCTGAGATCAAGAGACTAGTAGTGATTTTGGCTGGGAAATCTGCCGCTAATGTTGTTTATATGGGTGCCAAGAGCGGAAAAGTAGTGCACTGGGTCAATAGAGCAAACGGTAGGGAACATGCTTTCTTCGCTTCAGGCAGAGGCAAAGGGCCATCCGAGAATGCAGCACACACGCGTATTGTGGCCTCGATCGGGCAATCAATATTCGATAGCGAAAATGGATGGACGAATTTCCTGCAACAAAGCTGGGTAGGCCGATGGCTCGTAAGGAAACTTCCCTCAAACCAAGACCGAAATGTCCGAGAAGAAGCCAACTACCATGGACTAAACACCGCCAAAGAGCTTTGATCGGCTTGAATATGAGACTGCGTTCGTAGCTCAGATAAACTCGCTTATCTAAAATTGACTTCTTCAGGTTCTTCTGGCAGAACAGCCCAGGCGATTTGCTCCATCACGACGACTTCTGGGACACCGTTGCTTTAGATGTGCACGTACATCACGATCAGGTTAAATCACTGGATGGGAATCTTGTCCGGCTGGAGGGCAGCCAAGAAATTGAGTGTGATACGATTGTGTGTGACACCGGTTGGGTACCGTCTCTTCAGTAATTTGATAGCAAACAGCTAGTTGAACTTGGACTCCCTATGCCCATCAACTAAAAGACAAGCGAGGTATGCAAGTACTTGGAGAAATTTGTCCAGAATGCTGATGGAGAAATCTGCTTGAGATTCTTAATGCTCGCCGAGCCATCGGATCACACACGTAACAAGATCAACACAATCACGTACTGGCTATATCAAGAGATGGCGCCGATGCAAGATGACAGCATTCTCTTCTTGAACCACTTGAATACAGGCAACAAGCTCTTCGCTGCCGAAGCGTAGACGATGTGTGCGGTGGCTTACTTCGACGGACTAATAACACACCCGTCAAGGGAAGATATGGAAAAGAGTATTGCGAGGTGAGTGGCTTTCAGCCATAGACGTTACCTATCTAACGGCGATTCGGGGAATGCGATCAACTTTGAGCCCATCACATATACCGATATACTTCTGAGCGAGATGGGCTTGTCGGCGCACAAGAAGGGATGGTGGCAACATTGGTTCGACCCTGTCCGTACTAGTGGCTTGGATAATGCGTGGGCGGAGTATCTGCGAGATCATCGCCTGAATAGACCAGGACCGTCCGACGGCTGGACCAATCTATATGAGGACCTTTCCCACACTCCTAGAACAGAAAGACCTTCTCCATATACTGATCCAAACCCAAACCTACGAGTATGGCCCACCCTGACTCCTGTCGGGCTTTCCTTCACCCTCCATCTTGCGCTGATATCCACCAAACGACTCTTCGAATGAAGTCCCATTACGGGTATGCAAAGCCATAGCCACATGTACCGTCCAAACTGGATAATAATCCACTTTCCACCCGGCTTCCCCATCAGTCTTCTTCACGCGACACAAAAGTACTGTATCGTCTTCCCTTGAGTACTCGTTCATGGCTGCAAAGTGTTGCTTGTCCGATGCGACATCGTCAGGCGCCGCTTGTAACCACCTCGCGCAGTCTTCGACGGTCTTGCCGTACCATGGCGAAACATATGATTTCGAAATAGGCGGCACAGTGCCATGCGCGGCAGGCAAGACTGAGCCATCGGGCTGTCTCCTGTTTGGTGGATCACGCGGCATATCTTCGTAAGAATTAGTTGCGAGCCAGAGATCCCAATCTGCTTCATTGGCAGCATCCCAGCTGCGTGCACGTTCGAGAGTCTTGTTTATGTACTACGAGTATTAACGTCAGATTAGATAGTAAATCACGAGAGCGTACCTCATTATCGATAGACTTATCAAGAACAAATAAAGCGAAAGGAGATGAGTTCATGTTTGTGAGTAATTATGATGGCTACTGCGTGAGGTGCAAGGTGTAGTGTCGTTGGCAATTCAAACCGGTCGAGGATAGGAACGCCTGACCAACTGCGCCGCCAGATATGACGTAATTTGCATGCATGCTCCGCCCACCAGCACTCTACCGTAACCGCGTGTACAAATTCAGAACACATGTGATGAACATACCAGCTCGGCCTCCGAAGCCTTCGCGCATTGCAGTTCGGAGATGATATTGCAAACATTCAGTTGTCAATTACAAGTATCGGAAGCCAAGGTATGAGACACGGCAAACCATGCCAACGTTACCTTGTCTAATGCATATCGGCCCCTCGTCATCATCTCTGTATTACTGTCCGGAGTGGGATACAGCTGTGCCACTCTGCTAGCGATCAGGCTGAAGCTTCTCAGATAGTCGATCGAGACAATCATTGGACATGGCTAGGCAGAGGGTCACTCGATGTTGTCCAGAAACAGGTATCTAAAAATCCTCCCGGAATGATATCTTTCGCATCAAATAAGCCGTGGCGCGTAGTCTCCCTGCAAGCTATCTTCACGACTGCCTATTTCTGATGCATCCAATGGAAGACCCGAAAAACAATCTTGAAAGCTTCTGCTTCTATCTCACGAGTTCGCCAGGGCTGCGCGGCAAGCTAGATGTTAGAAAAGTGTTCATCTCCACATTCGGTCCGACCTGTTTCAAGACAACTGTATGTCGGAGGCGTAGTCCAACAAGATATAGTTTACAAGCGACTCAGTGCAGTTGAAACATTCGCAATAGCGCTTTGCTATCCGAATGGTCAAAGGACCATTATGACGTGGAAGCAGCGATCCCACGAGCGACTATCGGGCTCTATAGGAATCGATGGTGAGGCACAGTCCCTCGCCGCATGACGTTCTCCAGGCTGAATACGCCTCGACATACAAGTTTGACGCTATGCACACGTAACTGGTCACTTCGCCGCGAAAGGTGGGTACTTTCGATCCTAAGCCTGACCATGCCGCATTCTCATTGATTGAAACTTTGTGACCTCCAGTTCGGGAACCGACGTTTCTCAAGGCAGACATCAGAATAGAGCAAACGCCTCATATGTGTTGTCTAAAAATTGCCGTCGAAGGTTTCTGTGCCTCTTGCACAGCTGGCAGTGTGAAGTGGGTCTGCGGCACTGGCTTGAGACATGATGGGGGAACATTCTTCAATGCCACATATAAATATGTCCGGATTACGAAGAGTTTGCCTTGCTATGTCTTCTGTTTTGATCATCTTTGACCCAAAAGACTTATTCCGTTGTGCTACTGGCTTCAAAGTCGCCTCCAACCCCAACAAGCAAATAATCGGAGAAGATTATTCATTAAGCACGATCTTCGAGCTATGCAGTCTCTCATCTTAGCTTCTCTCTTGGTGGCTTTTGTAGTCGGGGAAGGGACTACTCCCGGCCGAAGTGACAGAATGTTCTACAAACGAGCGCCCAAAGATCTTGGAACCTGGGAGCCAGAGTGTTCAGGGGCAGAATCTGCGTGCAACAACGCCTGCTACTATATCCATTGTATGGTATGTTGATGGAAGTCCCAACCAAATCTCCTAATGACGAAAACTTATGATTCATCTAGGGAGGCAACAATCCCGATGCCAATAAAATTACATATCTTGGGAAGAGTCGTCACAATGAGAACAATAAGAATCGCCACGAATCCGGGTGCAGGGTTGACAATCCTCAAAGTACAAGTGTCTGTGGTGCCTTTCCGTTTAGTCAAAAGTTCAGTGACCCACTTGCACGGAACTGGGAATGCGATGAATGGCCACCAGCAAGTGCCAAACAGGAGCTGTTCAACACCCCGGGTAGACTTCCAAACAGTCTGCGATGCATGACCCCCCAAGAAAACCAGTCTCTTGGTGGACGACTGAGCGGCTACCTCAGAGCCACGGGCGCGGACCGGGATGACTTTTTCCGTGTGGACTTCAAGAGAAGACTTGCGTCTGCGGACCAATCCAAAGTCCAGTACTGTCTACCGACACCTGACTGCGGTAACGATGCGAAGCAGTTTCAACTGGTGGAAAAACCACATGTTGGAGGAAGGATCGGTTCCCCGTACGAAGGTACCAAAAAGGACAACAAGTACAAACTCTCTGGCACAGTCTTCAAGGAGCTATACCAATGCAGCGTCAAATTTATTCGGACTGGAGACTCGTACATCACCGACGCCAAGGTAACAAACTTCGACGAGAAAGACACAAAGGTGGCAGATTTCAAATTACCCAACGACGGAGCCACGTTCAAGATCAAAGGCTTGCCACATGATCTGCAAGTCAAACGCACAGGCCCTTTCGGCTCCAAGTTGGAATTTGCTTATGCACCGGGAACAACCAATGTCAATCACTTCGAATGGGATTCTGAAATGGAGGGTAGCGGACGCGGACCCTTTACCGACGGTGGAAAACCGAGGCGATTCTGCAGGGCCGAGCCCGTTGCGAAAACTACCAACAAAGAAGTATTCAGTTGTTGGTTTCCATGCTACAAGAATGCAGACGGGAAATGAGACTTGTTGTCGCGCGCAAACTAGGAAAGAAGGCGGATATAGTCGTGTTTGGAAGTACAAACCATGCGTGCGCATTGTATCACGCTTTGACAAGTTATACAAATTGGAAAGACTGTAACAGAGTGTCGGAGCTGGGGTCTAGTTAGTCTTGGGATGTAAAGTATAGAGGAATGCACATCTTTATGTTTTTTAACAGCAAGTAGCCCCGTTGAAACGCTGCATCGGTTTCAACACCGCCTGAAATTGTATGGTAATTTGCCTGTGCATGCTGATGTGCGGAATAGAGCTTTCAAGTGTAGTATGTATGACGAATGTGGTCTGTATGCCGTCCTCCCCCTTCTCTATTCCTTCCTCACCCCAAAAACCCCATAAGTTCTCTCCCGATGCTGTACTGCCCGGCCTAGCTTTCACGAAACTGTCAATAGCATCAACCCTGCTCATGTATGCATCCACCACCGTGACAATTGCTGGTGGCCAGTTGTTCGGCGTGATTGGCAAAGCCTCGTTCCTGCAACGCCTCGAGGGCCGGTGCTCAGGATCGTGGGGTGCAGCGCGCGCAGCACCTGGTGACTCTGCGCTATGAGCTACCTAAAAACCCTCTGCTAACATTCCTCCTCCTCTCCACACTAAAAACCTCGACCTTCACGCCACAAAGGACGACTTGCATCCTCGTCTCCCCGTCGAACTCCACGGGCTCGACTCGTAAACGCCAATGAGCGCGCTTAACGATCCATTCGGTTTCTTCTCCGTCTCGAGCACCGCCCCAGACCCATGTCGCATCTCTTTCTCGTCTAACACCAACGCGTCTGGAGGTTTCATCAGTGCTGATCTCCGCTGCCTCCCCGTCGAGACTGAACGCACAATCTTTATCGAGGCGGACACGTACACGACCCTCGCTGACACCGGAGTTAGCTGGACTGACAGGTTGAGCAGCCACGCCGCTGCCTGTCTGGAGGTACATTAGGCCAAGTGGCTGGGTAGCCGGTAGACCCATCTTACTCGCAATAACAGAGAACAGGGAAGTTATCCGAGCGAGTGTCGAGTTGTGAAACGTCGCCCGTGGATTGATCGTTGTGGAAGTTTGCGCCGATGGTGACAGGTGTAAGGTTGTCGACTCTCCATTTGAGATTTCCAGAACGAGGATGTTGGTCTGCGAGTGATCGTCTGTATATGGTCTTGCATATGATACCAAACCCGGGCGGGCGGAAGGAAATGAAATGCTCGGTGCAGCACTTGGTGATACGCTTTCTGAGTCACTGAGTGACTCGTCAGGTACAAATGAAACGCCAGATTGCCTGATATCCTCTAAGCGCATCAAAATCTCCGATTCCTGGCGCTTAAGATTGTACGATATCTCGCACGGTATTAATTTCTGCTCAAGACCTTTGAGATGGAAGTAGCGCGCATCACGGAGGAGTTGTGAGCGATGTACTTCGTTGCGGATCTCGGGTGCGTAGCCTTGGAGGATGCGGATCAGTTCTGCGAAGGTTTCGCCGCTTCGACCAGGGGCTGAGGGAGGGGATATAGAGGGCGGACGGAGTAATGCGCTGCGGTCGAGACCAGGAAATGTGTCCGAGGGCGTGGAGAGAAATTGTGCAAAGCCTAGGGAGAAATAGTTGGGGCTGTCACCCGGCGAGGAGAACAGGTCTCGTGGTATTTGAAACGGTGTACCACCGATTCGAATGAAGATATCGGTCTTGAAAAGCTGCTTGGTAAGACGCGGTACTGATGTCGTCAGCAAAATTGCATGGTGTGAGAACATTTAGGAACTTACGTGAGTAGAACTGCGCATCTGCAAATAGCTTCACAAATTGCTCGCCGTCTTTCGGTGTAATGTGATACCCTTGCAGATGCAGTGCGATTTCTCGGAAAGTATCAGGATCGCGATCGATGTATAACGTCTTTACGTCGCCAGCGCGGCCACCGTTGTTGTGCAGCTGTTCGCTGAAAAAATGCGAGAAGTATGAGGGTGCTCTAGTAGTCTCAGTCTGCTGATTCGTGCCAGCGTGGAGGTTTGACCGTGCTTACCATCCGAAGTTATGGACGCGCCAGACAATCTGAACAGCTCAGATCCGATCTGTATAGGGAACACTTTCCCTGCTGGTAGCAATTCCATGCCTCCAGGCGACTCCGCAACTCGTCGTGGTTTTGAGACATCGATAACCCGCCCCTGAGGTCCTGTGCCTTTACTCTGCTCCTTCTTCCGTGGCTCTGTGTCTACTTGTGGTGCAGGTTCGGAAGACGGCTGCACGACCGAAGCCTGTGTTGCCGGTGACTGGCGAGCATCTGCCGATTCTGCGACATCGGGCAAGGGCGAAGACGTGGATGATGATCGCCGTGACCTGTTCTGACGCTTCGACGGGTTATGCTGTGTCTCTGTTGCATTGCTTGCGGTTTGCGACACTGCGGAATCTGGCTCAGAATTGGCCTTCCTCTTCATGCCTGTCTGGACGACAGGTCTCTGAGGTGGCGCTTCTGGCGCATGTGAGATAGTATGATGCGTAAGGAGCGGATTTGGTGTCGTGATCGCGGGAGCATGGGCGGTCGGATCGAAATTCGCGTCCGTGGTCGCAAAGGGTAATGGTATGTTGAAGTCGTTCGCGGTGACGGGATGTTGGAGCTCTTCAACAAGCTCCCCTTGCGGTTCGTATTGGGCCGTGAAGTCTGAAAAGTCAATCGAGTTCGTCCAGTCCCAGCCCAGTGGCATCGAGTTGTTGTACCCGTAGCCAGTGCCAGTGAACTGTCCGGGTACTTGTTGTTGGTCATGCACGCCATATGCCTGGTACCTCAGAGCCGCATCATGCATTCCCTCTGGCATTCCGTTCGCCGATACATGGCCATTGGCATCGTGGCCGCCATCATAGCTACCGTACGGCGCGTGTTGTCGTGAAGCTTCACCCGCTTGGCCCGAGGTCTGATAAACAAAATCGCGCGCGTTGCTAGCTCGCGATCGTTCCGTCATTAGGTTCAATTGTCTAGCACAAAGGGAGTCTCGGAGGCCAGCGAAAGCCTACGCGCAAGGAAACTCTTGCGACTCTTTCCAGCAAAGAGTGATGCTGAAAGACGGCTGAGTGAGATGTCGCAAAGACACAGCTTTGCGGGGAGTTTTCCAGATGCAGTATGGCGTAGCCGGGTGCTTGCGACTTGCGATCAATGATCCATGGATGGTTGTGGAAATCCCAAAATATTTGTCGGCATGGGAAAAGGTAATTCATACGACAGCTCGATTGTCATAAAGAAGTGGCATCTAAAAAACGATGGGATGCCTTGGGGCGGTTTTGGACCCCATCCCCACCGTCATGCTCGGGCGAGTCCGACACGCGCTTCGAAGATTTGGTGGTAGACGCGCACATTCGCACACGCGAGCTGAACAGGGCTGAGGCTGAGGTTGGCCCGCTGCTAATCAAGGGCTTTCGCGGGGCTTGATAGCGCGGAAGTTGATCCTCCGACATGTTGGTTGTGCTGACGTGAGGTTCTGAGCGGTGACGATGGGGTCGGCGTCGGGGTGCCCGACTGCATGCGGTGTCCTTACATTAGCTGTATGCTCAGCCACCAACAACTTTCGCAAAACATACCAATGAGGATTACACTCCTTCACATCAATCTTTCTACAAACCCATATGGTGACTGATATGTGTTGCCGGAATTTTTCAATTTGAAGTGATATCGTACGTACGCGCGCGTTCTGACCACAACGCCAGGATTATAGACCGTAGTTATCCTCCTAGTATAACATGAAAGCATCGCCGCGCTTCTCAGTCGCTATGAGTATATGCCATAGTATAGCTGGGCTTAGATTGATATCGCGCATTCTATGCCCAACTACTGCAGGCCCACAACCAGGACAGAAAGCGATCAGGATGTAACAACAGCAGGCAGCCCATCTGATAGCCTGAAGCTATACAAAGTATCGCTAGCTTTTGAAATAGATGGCAAATTCATGTGTATAGTTTCAGGATATAAGATGCCTTTTTACGTTCCCACGTACCGATGTTGACAACCTGTAGGATGCACTGAATCTTTTGCTTAGGGCAAGCTAGGAGTAGAAGAACCTGCCACTGGGGCCCCAAGAACTTCGATCAATACTGCGGGAGATGGCAAATCCCCCACCGATTGCGTGCGTTGCAACGAGACAGGTGGCGATGCATCGCGTCGCGAAAACATAGATGCACTCGAATTGTGCACTGCAGGGTTTTTGCCAGGAGAGGCAGTTCCAGTGGAGTCATCTACCTTTTCATGTGTTGGTATCGGACGAGACTCCAGTGGTAAATCCACCAACTTCTCGCCCTTCGCCGTCAAGGGAACATCTTTGCCGAGTTGTGTCCACGTGCCTTGGCCATGCGCCTCATACGCTCGACGCTGCAGTTGTAGCACGCCGTCTTGGATCCATCGATCGGTCCGGGGACCTAGAACCTTTTTGGTCCTATCGAGATAGATTATGAATTTGAGTAGTGAGATGTTCACCAAGGCAAGAAAGAGCGACATTGAGATTACGAAGGCTAGTCCGAAGACGTTGATGTTACTAACAATTGAGTCAGTCTCGCAACGATAGAAGTGTGGTAACTTTGCTCGTACACGAATCCACCCGCTTTGCGCATCTTCTGCGCTCCGCAGAGCGCCTTGTCTCCCAATGTCGCCGGGACTGTCACGTTGTCTGCGATATCTGGACTGCGAAGACTGGGACCAAGGGCGTAGTCAGCTATTGCAACTTGCAAAGCCGTCCAGACAAAAGCTTCCATTCCTACAGTATGAGCAACTGTAAGGTAGACAGCTGTAGAGCGCTTGCTCTCTCCAAGCCTTTCAGTGTCGCGTTCGCTTGAATTGCGTATACCGGTACGCCGTCTGGGACAGAACATTGCTGTCCAGATTTGGTGTTGATGCAGTATTGATGCTTCTTTGTGTTAGCATTCTTGTGGAATCAGTGACAGCCCACTCATATGAAACTGGCTTACCTGAATTGTGCATCCCATTGGGCTGCCTACACCATCATGGAAATATGTGAGGATATCATTCCCAGCGGCGTCACGCCTTGGGACTGATTTTGTGGCGAGAAACCATGGGTCGTATACAGGCTTGAGGTAGCTGAGTGGATTGACCAAGATGAAGATAGTTACGTCCGCATAATCAGGTCGCATGCCCCGCATTGGAACAAATCCTGAGCCACCGGATTGACGGGCGCCTACTCGGTCGCGTGTTCCTCTGGTCACTATCAGCACCTTACTTCAGAGTGTATCTTGCGACATACTTGAGAACGTATGTGTGCTGAAACTTCGCACCAAGCAAACTAGAGAACACAGTTACATTTTCCCATCCAGTGGGATTGGCCGCTGAAGTTCCATAGCTCATAATCTCGATCTGTTCTCCTGGAAATGGGCTTCGGTCCAAGAGCTCCTTTGAGAAAGCAGTCGCATCAACAATCGATGTGTGGCCTGGTAAAGACAGCACCGCGCACGTAGTCTTTCGTCCATAACTAACTCGCTCGCTATTTGGAAGGTTCAGTCCAAATCCATCGTTAAGATCGACAAGGCCCGAGTCCATAGAAACGGCTGATACGTTTCCAATGCAGACTTCCGATGCAAATGGACATGACGAGTTCTGTACAGTAAAAGGGATATTTGGACAGACGAAGGTCTTACACCTCGCTGGCAGTATTTTGTGTTCTTGATAACATTCCTGTACGTAAGATCTCGCAATGGAACTGAGTGCTGCAACATGAACTCGCCAAGGGTTGAGAGGTATCTTTGGGCTGATCGGTCCGCATGAATGACTACTCACGAGCACTTCGATATCTGAGCTGTTGACGATATACGAAGAGAAAATGCTGGCACTGAGGAATGCGACTGTGCAAATTGTGGCGAAAGCAAATGGGGTCAAAGAGCGTACCAAAGCACTGCTAGTAGCTCTTCTCCACGACCACCACAGCTTGGTAGCGTCGGCCATGAGTGAACTTGGAGTTGGGGCAGTCCGTAGAATTGCTTGCTGTTGACGAAACAGACCATTAGAAGGGACCCCATTGCTGCGAAACTGATGATATGCAAACACGATAAGGCTCCAAAGATGGCTCGTCCCTGTCCACATCAATCGCCTTCATTCTTTGTCAAGTTTTCACAGCAGACTTACCGATCGTCGAAATGATGGCCAATATAGCGATGACTATAGCGCCAGTCTTGCTCTCTGTGGTAATGGTCCTGCCCATGACGTTTCCATATTCGAGGTTGGTCCAAGCCCCAAGTTTGACGAAGCGCCCGTCTAACTCCGACATAGTCAATCTAGTTGAATTTTTTGTTCTACAAAGGGAGATTTTGTTGGACTTCTGAAGAAAATTGTTAAGGTCTCGACTCTGAAATCTGCAATCCAAGTCAATCTTTAGAAGCTTCAAGACGGTTTTCTCAAGAGACCTGACGCTGCGAGTAAGCACTTTACGTCGTCAGCAGAGATACACCAGTGCCTCTGACTGTGTCCATGAAAATGTCTTCTTATCAAGCATGGCGCTGTTTACGGACGTTATTGCATTGATTCGTTCGCACTCTGCAGTGCAAAGTCTTTGAAATGCTCGCTCATTGGGCTTTGCCCCTCCTTTGCTCTCAAGGATGAATCTACCCCTGCTAAAATCTCGACACTGATTTTATGCAACGTTGGTCCTCCTTAACTGGCTGTCGAATGGCTAACCACCCGCGGGGAACCCATTCACAGCCTCATGGGCCGGACCACATGATCAGGAAATTATGCCCTTTTATATTCGACAAAGATACAGGCTAATGAAGACACGCTGATGGGCTCTTTTGAGCTTCGTCATGGTGGTTTCCTGTAGGGATGCTGCGCGGGTGGCGGTAATCGCCAGGGCCCAGAAATTGGGTTCGACCAGCACAAGCGACTTCAGCCTGACTAAAAACCAACCAGCTTGGTTTTAACCTATCAATAGATACAGGACAACCTTGGCGCTGCCTCCACTCGCAGCGAGGTGCCAATTGAGCACGAGAAGAAGGCTTTGATCTCAGGCTCAGCCTGCTGACCCATCAGATGCAGCTCTACTATCGCAGTGAGCGGTCAGTCCATCCTTAAGCTGGCTGTAAAGGCCCAGTGGCAAAGGCATAATTTTTGGAATTCATTACGATTTCGTGCAAGCTCCACGCGTCTCTGGCAGGTGATTTTTCACCTTCACACCGTAACGTGAGTGTCTTCATAGTACCACCATTCGAGACTTGCAAAATTGAAATTTTGTACGTGTAGAAGTAAATTGGTCTACTTGAGCTATGTGGAAATCGGCATTGTCAAGCAACGCTATGGGAAAGTCTACGGCCACGGGGAAGTCTGCCTTGTCGTCTACACCAGTAGGAGAGGATATATTTGCAATGCACATTTCCATTCCGACACCTTCCGGCATATCTGGGAGAGCCTGCACCCAATCTTCAGCATGCAGCAATTCTGCCTGACGTGCCTTTTGTGTCTGGAGCCACCGCATTGGATACCACGGGGGAAAGTCCTGGCACTATCCCAGAGCGGTGAAGCTGTCTCCCATGTCTAGAAACGGAGCAACACGATTCTTGCTCACAGTGTAACACAACTTGCGGGCACGTATTCCATACATGGAGAGTGATCACATTGAATACCCCAGAGAAAGGATTCTGATACTTCCTTAGCGCGACAAGTCTGACTTCATCATCTAGGAAACGAGCTACACGAATAGTTATGAAGCCAATGCTGATTTGCTCACAGGTCTAATTGGTTGCGCCTTACATCTATACTAGCACCCCTATACTCTTCCACATCTATCTCTATGCCAATTACTCCGTCTACGCTTTGCCGTAAATATCCGCGTCAAAGTTCACCGGAAACTGATCGCGACCCTGCGCATCCGCCTTCACCCAAATAGCCACACTCGTACCCGGACACTTGAACAGCCCATACCCATCCTGGTCGATCTCAACCTCGCCCTCTTCCCAGCCCAGCACATCCGTCCACTTCTCACCTGCGTGCATCTCTCCAACCGCCATCTTGATCTCCCCGGGACCCTTATTGCTCATCAGACAAGCGAGACCAGCTGGCTTGTCCCAAGTGCCACGACGTACGAAGCCGATGAGGTTAGGATCGTTCCAGTAATCCTCCTGGTCGCCGTACGCATACAATTTGCGTGCGAGGATAAGATCGGCGAGTTTCCCGCCGCACGACGCGGGGGTCTCGTGAGGTTCGTTGAGGCCGTATAGGTCGCCGTAGAAGGGACACGGGTAGCCTTCTTTCCTGAGGAGGATCAGGCTGTATGCGAGGGGTACGAAGAAGCCTTCGATTTTGGTCTCCATGGTTTGGCCGGGTTGCGTGTCGTGGTTTGTGACCACGGTGACAGCATTCACGGGCTCGGCTTGGACGAGCGAGCCGTCGAAGACGGTGCGGAGGTCGGCGTCCGGGGTGGTGGATAGGCGGGCGAAGTTGTTGAGGAGGGGGGAGTCGTAGAGGGAGAATTTGTGGTCTAGGTCTGCGAGCCAGTCGATCATTACGGTACGGTCGCCGGACCAGAATTCGCTGATTGATTGTTAGCTTCGTTTGCTATGCTGAAGTGTACCAAGACTCACCCAACCATGAAAATGTCCTTTCCACATTGCTCGCGCACATTCTCGATCCACTCGTTTGTGAAGCGTTCGCTGAAGTGCTGTACAGCGTCAAGCCGAAAACCCTTGAGACCGAGCTCCTTTGTGATCCAGACACCCCAGTTCTTGACGTCTTCTTGAACTTCCGGATGGCGGTAGTCGATGTCTGCGAACATCATGTAATCTGCGTTACCACCCTCGTTATCGACCGAGTTGCTCCAGCCCTTGTTGTCACCAACAATCTTGTAGATGGCCTTCTTTTCGTTGGCCTGGTTGTAGTCGGTTCCGGAAAAGTGCTCCCAGTGGTACTTCATGGATGAGTACTTGTCTCCACGGCCAGCGAAGTCGAAACCTAGCCATCCTTCGATCTCGTAAGGCTCACCAACTTCCTTGGTACGGTCTTCGTTATCGACTTCGACGACGCGACACTTCTCGGTCTTGTCTGCACCAGCTTTATGGTTAAGGACCGCATCCCAATAAAGTCCAACACCATTCTCTTTCGCAATCTTGCTCAACTCCAAGAGGTCTTCCTTGGATCCCCATTTCGTGGCGCGGGTACCTTTTTGGTCGAACTCGCCGAGGTCATACAAATCATAGATATCGAAACCAACGCCCTTAGGGTTGGCAGCCTTGCAGCCGGGAGGAAGCCAGATGTTGTTAATGCCGATTGCCTTCAGCTTAGGTACTTCGGCGGCGAGGCGTTTGTAGTGTTTGTTGTCGGAAGGGCAATTCCACTCATAGCCTTGGAGCAGAGTGTTGTTCTCCGGCGTCGGCTTCTGTTCTTTTCATTGTTAGTTGGACTTGAGAAACAGCGCTGATTTGCGGCATTATCTACCTTCGGAACCCATCTTGAACACTTCTGTGACTGTATCACTTATTCTATGCGCCTACTAAGTACGTATTGCGTGCCCGATCACCAAGAGTTGAAGTGGAAATGTTTGAGAAATAATGCGATGAAATATTCCAGTCCACTTGGTACATACTTATGTAGAAAGGAAAGTGTAGTAGCGTGGAAAGACCCTGGTGGACACATCGCCGAGCAGGTTTACTTCCCCTGCAGCCGAACCAACAACCAAGACTAACGCGCGGGTCTTCACATGGATAGCGAGAGTCTGGACGTGGGTGTACCAGACAAAGCTCAACAATATGCGCCGTTGACGTCATGTAGCGTCGAGTCAAGCTTTGCAGCATTATCATCGCAAGAAAGCATGCGCAAGTGATTGGGATTGCATGGTGAAAGGGTTGCAAGTGAATTCGTCGTTGGCAAAGTTCTGGCTGGCAACAGAGGGGTGAGGGGTCAACAAAGCCGCCATTTGACTGACGCTAGAGAAAGCTGCATGTAGCAGTGTTGACAGTCGACATGCCTCGTGCAGCGCGGAAGTATCTCGGGAAGCCATACAGTCATGTTGTAGTGAACTTTTGAACTGTCATTGTCTGACGTATGCTTCACGTTGCTTTTCGAGGGAAGACATCGGAAAAGCGATCTAACTCAATAACGTTAGCCGCAGCTAGATCGTCACTTCTACTTCCACACCCCACACCTGCACAAGTGTGGAAAGCGTGCTAGGTTCACCTTAGGGAGGTAGCGCGGGTGTCGTAGAGTAGTCGTGTTACACAACATCTGCGACTTTTTTCAGCCGCATCACATCGTTACCAGCGTCCGTTGTTCACTGATCAAACGCCGCAACCTTGATGCCTAGCACGCCCAGTCACTGCCTACCTCGCGCGTTAGCCACGCACGTCCGGCCCCAGAGACTAAAGGTGTTCATCACAACCTTCTCAACTAAGATTCCACTGACTCCGACCATGGATAGAACTCTCGACAGACACGAGCAAGATAAAGTCCGCGCAGCACGTGCCAGCTTCTTCCAAGGACAAAAGCGCAGGACCTCGACTTCCAAAGACTCACCCCTCGACAACTTATCGATAACCTCCAGGACTAGTCAAGATACCATGTCGTCGAAGAAGTTCAAGTTCTCCGGCATAACATCAACTAAACCCTCCGACACAGCGCCCAAAATGCCACTCATCGTCCGTTTCTATGATAGCAATGTCCAGGCCCGGGACTCACATGGCCGCACTCAAGAAGAGATCCTGGCTTGGCCCGACAGCAAACTCGAGAGCTGCCACAACTACATCCAGATGCTCTTCCCCGTTCCCGAGGGCTCGGCGTTCAACTGGGAAGCGCCCATCATCGACCGCGAGACCATGGACGCCTTCCGCTCGCGCAAGGACCTGCGCGACCGCCTACGCTTGAGCTTCGAGCGCATGCTGGACTTCTATGGATTTGCTGTTGAGATGAAGCCGGAGCAGGAAGCCGAGAAGAGCGAGGAGAAGGATGAAGATGCTACTGGGGATAATGCGACCGAGACACAAGACACCACCACAAGCAAGTCAGAAGCCACCCACTCCTTTCCACCCGGTATAACCTCCTACACTACACCCTTCACATACGCCATCATCCGCGGCCCTAATTTCCGCACAAACTCGCGCAACTGGGCCGTCCGCTTTGATCACAACCACCTGCGCATCACGCGTATACTGCGCTGTCTGCGCATCCTGAGCTTGCAGATTGAGTGCGAGGCGTTTTTCAAGGCGCTCAAGGAAGTCTACGACGATGACGCGGTCAAGATTAGTGAGCGCTCGTTGACATATTGGACGCGCGCGGTTACGCGGCCGTTATATGTAGCGCCGGATGACGACGAGATTGAGTGGTTAGAGGAGTGGGAGGGGGAGCAGCAGTAGACAATGGAGAGGTGGGAGCGAGAGTAGGCTTCGAGGAGGTGTTCACGACCCACGTGCCTGTCAGTAGCATGTTCCTTTCGAACCTGTATAATCTAGCATATTAGGACACTCGGCGTTCAGCCAAGAAGCTAGAATCTTGTCAAAGCTCACAGTGCATTTGATACGTGATGATGTCCTGCGCAAGTAGGACGTCAAAGTTGCTGTCCATCCACAGCTCTCTTTACATGCTTGCATCCCCGAATCCAGCTAGGCCTACTCTCAATGTCGCAGAAACAGTGAGATCTCGCAATTCGCAGGTCTCACATGCCAAACCCTTATGTCTAGCCGAGTTCAGAGAACTCTACTTCCATCCATCTTGGAAAAAGGTTACAAGACATTGTAGAGTGTTTCGTAGATTTTTCCAAGGACTTTGCTTGACTTCTTAGACTATTATCGCAGTCTCACTATGCTAGCTGCACATCGGTTTCTCGGCAACTTGAGAGGCATGCATATCACACATCACAAACCATTCATCGGCCCTCAAATCCAGCAAAATTCAATGCTTGTATTGGCCTCCGTCATTCTGGTATTCCTACTACTCCTCCTCATCCCAACTTTCCCTCTAAAACTCAGAGATCAAATCTCCCCTTCTCTTTCCGCGCATCTCCCACTTGCCCTGTCCTCATATTAGCCCCAATCCTCCCTCGCCCGACTCTATCCCATCCACAAACTCACCTCAGTCATGTACCCAGCCGTCCCCAGCATCGCAGGCACGAGCACGACGTATGCGAAGGAGATCCACGCGGTGCGGCGGGTCCAGCGGAAGTACTTGTGGCGATTGACCACCATGTCTATCATACATATCAGCCCAGCGCTCTCATTTTAACTCGGTATCGCGGATGGTAGGGGGGAAGGCGTGGTGCGAGGGACGTACTGTTCCATTTTATGATGGCGGGATCCTGGTGGAGCACTGGGGTTTTTGTTAGCCATTGCGCATTTCTCGCAGAGAACAGAGGGTTGCGCGTACTGCCATGGTTGTGGCCTGCCATTCTGAAGGTTCGGGTGTGGTTGTTTGCGCCGGCGTGGCTTGTGGTGTGGGCTTCGGGAGCTGCGTGTGGAGGTGAGGTTGCGTGGTGATGCGATGGGGATCGGGGGAACTTCGGATGATACGGGCTTGGCGGGATGCTGTAGATGAGACGCGCAGTTACGATTCCCGTGCAGTGTTCGTAATATGAAAACTTTAGAGTGTATTTATAGAAGAGGGAGTGCGATTGGGATTCATTTCGACTTTGGCGTTTTGCAGAAGACTGGTAGACGCATCATGGTACAGCATCTACCGCAGAAGATCTGCGGACTGGGCGTCAAGTGTGACAGAATGAAGCAGCCTTCTCTTCATCATGCATGTCCATTGTATACATGCGACGCTTCCGACCGTTGCGATATCAGCATCATAAAGTATGTCGGCCTCGGCAGGCAGCACCAGTCTCTCCGAGCCAACGACCGACGGGACTGTACCTAGGTGGGCTCAAGCTTGTGACGCAAAGTAGATAAAGTCCAGGGACCTCGGTCTCTTTTTTGAATTCACTCCACCAAACTCTGCAGCAGAACATTCGCTCCCAGACTTCACGAAACATCAAATTCCGGAATAGAAAAATGGCCAATCAGCAAGGCGCAAAGATCACCGTCTACTGGTAAGTTGCGCCACAATGTCAGCATGGCGCAGCCACATCCGATCTAACAACCCACAGGCTCGAGAAGTCTCGAGGCCAGCGCGCAGTATGGCTGCTTGAAGAACTCGGCCTTGAGTACGAGCTCAAAGTCTTTAAGCGCGACGAGAACTTCCGCGCAGGCGACGACCTTGGCGCCGTGCATCCGTTGAAGAGATCGCCTGTTGTTGGCATTACGCCCGCTGGGTCTGAGAAAGAAATCATTCTCGCGGAATCTGCGACAATTGTGGATTATGTCAGCGAGCATTTTGGGAAGCAGTTGATTCCGCAGAGATATCCTGACGGCAAGGAGGGCGTGCTGGGTGCGGAGACGGAGGAGTTTATGAGGCATAGAGTGAGTTTACCGTTTTATGTCAACGATGTCATAGATAAGCTAACGATACACAGTTCCTCATGGACTACGCGGAAGGCAGCTTTTTCACAATTCTCATGATCGCCCTAGTCATCGGAAGTAAGTCTATCGCACCCCTGTGCAAGTCTCTCATCTCACACCCCTTCCAGACGTCAAGAACGCCCCCGTCCCGTTCTTCATCAAGCCGCTCACGCGCGGCATCGCCAACAAAGTCGAAACCACCTTCATCAACCCGGAGCTCAAGAAGCACTGCGACTTCTTGGAGGACTTCATGTCCAAGTCCTCTGGTGAGTTCTTCGTAGGCGACAAACTCACGGGTGCCGATATCATGATGCATTTCGGCCTCGAGGGCGCGTGTCAGCGCGTGCCGCTGACTGAGTCGACGTATCCCAAGTTGTACCAGTACATGAGGCGGATGCAGAAGAGGGATGCGTATGAGCGGGCGGCGAAGAGGGTTAGTGAGGCCAGTGGGGAGACGTATGTCCCTTATTCGGATTTGAAGATCATGAAGAGGGAGGAGTAAGCGAGCGGATGTAATAGTTACGGGTACCTAGGTGCAATTCTGGAATGCATGCTTGTGTAGCTTCAAAGCCTTATTAGACTGTGACGAATTGCTCAAGAGTCCTTGAAGATAGACAGCTGTAGCTATCGCTGCGATGCACTGTTCGGTGTATGGATGTTCAGCAATATATCAAAGATGAAAACAATTTTGGATTAAATAGTGCTTCTGTCGAAACCATCGAGCGGTACTCAGTCGATAACACAAAGGTATAACCTCAGAACAGAGTGTATGGGTTAACCTCGCTCGCTTCATCGGAACATGTAGATACGAGAGCAGTATAAACAAAGATACCAATATAAATCGTATCCGGGGTGAGGGATTTAAGACATGGTTGAACACGCTGGGCGCTAAGCGATCTGAGTGGACGGCAGGTCGTCAACAGCATGTGGTCCCGCTGTCCGAGATAGCCCGACGCCAAGCCAAAAGATTCTACTTCGCTTCGTCTACTATCTCCGTCCGTCCAGCCTCTCCAGCTTCATCCTCACCACTCTCCACTCCATCCGCAGTCGCCCATCTCAGTGCAGCGAACATGGCCACCTCTCCTCCTCCCACCAGCACCGGCTCGTCCAAGGTCGACGCCGCCAAGGCCAACATCGCGGCCAACATCGACCCGACTGCCCCAACCGGTCTTGCTCTGTACTCGCGCTTCGCTTTCGCCGGAGCCGTGTGCTGCTCAGTCACCCACGGCGCCCTCACACCCGTCGATGTGTATGTCTCCCCGCAATTTCGCAGGTCTCGTGACCGCCAATGGCTCGCTGCGGGCTTTTTGGCGATGCGCGACAGCTGTCCCCGATGACGAAAGAATGCCAAGCTCACATATTTCGCAGCGTCAAGACGAGGATACAACTCGACCCCGCCACATACAACAACGGCCTGATCGGTGGCTTCAGGAAAGTCATCGCCAATGAGGGTGCTGGCGCCGTCTGGACCGGTTTCGGCCCTACCGCTGCCGGTTACTTCCTCCAGGGCGCCTTCAAGTTCGGAGGTTACGAGCTGTTCAAGCAGCAGGCCATCAACATGGTCGGCTACGAGACTGCCTCCAACAACCGCACTGCCGTCTACCTCGCCTCCGCTGCCTGCGCCGAGTTCTTCGCCGACATCGCCCTGTGCCCGCTTGAGGCCACCCGTATCCGTCTCGTCTCTGAGCCCACCTTCGCCAACGGCCTGATCGGCGGTTTCGGAAAGATCCTCAAGAACGAGGGTGTCGGTGCCTTCTACTCTGGTTTCGGACCCATCCTGTTCAAGCAGTATGTCTAAACAACTCTCAGAAAAATGCCCAACTAACACCCCATCAGGGTCCCCTACACCATGGCCAAGTTCGTCGTCTTCGAGAAGGTCAACGAGGCCATCTACCAGGTCGTCGACAAGACCAAGACCTCCAACGGCATGCAGACCGTCTACAACCTGTCTTCCGGTCTCGTTGCCGGTTTCGCTGCCGCCATCATCTCCCAGCCTGCCGACACCATGCTGTCCAAGATCAACAAGAGCAAGGGTCTTCCCGGAGAGGGAACCACCTCCCGTTTGATCAAGATCGCCAAGGAGCTTGGTCTCCGTGGATCTTACTCTGGTATCGGTGCTCGTCTCTTCATGGTCGGTACTTTGACTGCCGGTCAATTCGCCATCTACGGTAAGTTTTTTTCTCAACACCACTGGTAGCACCGAATGCTAATAAATACAGGTGACATCAAGAAGGCTCTAGGGGCTACGGGAGGTGTAGAAATCGCTAAGACGAACTAGATACGTCGTCGGGGATGATGTGGTGGAGTGGAAAATGATACCAGGACAGCCATGAGTGGAAAAAAGTTACTTGTATATGGCTGTATCTTGGTTTGAGTCCCTTGCTTTTTTGCGCTTCATGTGTCTGCTTTCTTTGCGACTACGGATACTAGAGAAGGCCATCTGTAACAGTACGATAGCGGAGATTTCTTGCTGCAAACAATAGACGGAGCATAATGTCACTCAACTCTTCAAGATATGCGATGTGTGATTGGTGTACGGGACTGCTACAACGAACTCTTATGTAGGCATTTGTGCAGAATTTCTGTGGCGAATGGTAGCTGGCCTGTTTGGAGATCTATGCATGAATGTGTGGCTGGTGAGATAGTGTGTCACGTGAGACGGGGGCCTCGCAGTATTCTCTCGCTTCGCAGCGAAGCAAATCGTATGCAAAGGCCATACGACACGAACTGACGTATTATAGTGAGGTGACATCTAACATTCGCTTCGTTGCGGGATCAAAGCTCCACATTCGACACTTGCTACTACTTGTTATTCACGAGCCTGGGAGTTGTAAGCATCGCCTTTCCTGCAATACAACATCCTCTGACCGGAAATCAGATGCAGTTACGCTCTCGACTTCTGCCTTGTGCGAAGTCCATTGGCGCTGACGCACTACTGACTATGTCTGATTGTGCATGATGCATCGCGACTTCCGCGTCTAACTCGCTGCCCTCACTCAGCCTGGTCCTCCACACCTCTGGAAGAACGCACTCTGCCACCACACTGAGCAGTGAACATGGTCACCACACGTGATGTCAGCAACCTTGGTATATTTAACCTGTGTTGTTGTCTCGACAGAAAAACAATTCTCGATACTTCCACTCCACCTCAAAACGAGTCGCCTGATTCCTACTTAACAAACCGATACATGCTTAGTGGTCGCTTCGATTGCCTTCCTCGGACAGTTTCTTAGTTCGTGATTGCACTCAGCCTTGCGTACTGATTACTAACTCCTGGCAGCAATTGGCTGTCGTGTGTGCGGTAGCCTTGAACCTAAATTAAAACGCAACAAGCCGGGAGTATGGGGAGAGTCGACTCTCCAAAAGATGAGGTTCTGACAACCCAAGTCGCCAATGTAAAGGTGGAGGTGAAGAACCAAGATGCTCAGAAAGGCGCAGAACAGAAAGGCGCAGAACAGAAAGGCGCAGAACAGAAAGGCGCAGAACAGAGGTCGGAAGAGGACATTTCGACCCAGGATGTCATGGCCGACTTAACTACCATTCCGGAACCCCGCGCAGATGAGCCTTCGAAGTCCAGACGATTGAATTTGCGGTCGGCTGTCAAAATAGGAAGCCTGATAGACGTACAACTATTGATCAATTCGCCAGACGTGGACCCGGACGAAACAGATCAAGATTCGCGCACGGCGTTGTGGTGGGCGGCTTGGAGTAAAGGGGCGGGCGACAATGCTAAGGTAACAGAACTGCTACTTGCAAATGATCGTCTGGATATTAATGTTGCCGACGATTGCGCTCGAACACCATTATATGCAGCCTCATACACAGGCAATGTGGAGGTAGTGGAACTCCTTCTTGCAGAAGCTAATCTGGAAGTGAACGCCAGGTGCAACAGAGAGCCATACGAGGGGTCAACACCGCTACATGTAGCTGTGGACCGCAGGCACAAGGAAGTGGTTCGACTCCTTCTCACACGGCACGACATCGACGTCAATAGTACTGACTCGAAAGGAAATACACCACTGCACATGACCATCGCAGAGAACCGAATTGACAGAAGCATAGCCAGACAGCTGCTTGCAAAAAAAGATGTCAATCCGACCATGGAAAACCGAAATGGCCGATCGCTCCTGGAAGCAGCCGCCTGTTTTGGATATTCAGGTTTCGTAGATGAAATGCTTTCATCAGAAAACACCCTTGGGAAGAATCCGCATAGAGTTCGTCAAGCACTTGCGATGGTAGCCGCGGGCGAGGGACATGTTCAAGTATTGAAAACACTGCTCAAACATACCGAAGACCTAAGGTCAGGAGACAAATTTCGACGGACACCCCTGCATTGTGCATCAGAAAATGGACGTTTAGATGCCGTGAAGCTATTGCTTGGATTACCTGGAATCGACGTACATGCGAAAGATTCCAGAGACCAGACACCGCTGTTTCTAGCTGTTCGTCGAGAAGTGACAGCGGTTGAAAAGCTTTTCCTGGCGCATGATGGTGCTTATAAAACAGAAGAGCCCTCTCATAGCCGAGCACTCCTCAGATACGCTGTTCAGACTGGAGAGGTGGGTGTGGTGCAGTTGCTTTTGGAAGGAGAAGAGGGCCAGGAGATCTACGACAATACCCTAGACGTATACGGCCACACACTGATGTGGTCAGCTGTCGAGAAGGGGGACGAAGCAATGATGCGGAAACTTCGGGAATGGGATCACACAACCTTACATTCACTGGTCAACAAAGGAGAACAAGCATCAGTGGAGGGCCTGCTCAAGACTGGCTATAACCCCGACACCAAAAATGTGTATGGCCAGACAGCACTACACCTTGCGATTTTACAAAACCGCCTGAAAATTGCCAAAGTACTCATCGAATCGAACGCGAATGTCGACTGCAGGGATGCGAGTAAGAACACACCGATGCGACTAGCTGTGGAACGGAAAAGCTATGGAATTATTAATTTGCTGTTATCGAAATCAGCACATGTCCGCAGCTTGTTAGCGAATGACTGGCTGAAAGCATATGATGAAAAGACGTCCAAAGTTGTGTTGCTGAGGGAAGAACCCGAGAGGCGGCAAAGCATTAAGTTTATCGATACAGACATAGGTACTGCTGAGCTGCAGCGCGTTACTGCCACGGCCGAGGTCAACCGACGTTTGTTGTGAGTTTCTTGAGTTTAGTATTTTTTTGGCATGTAAGGCTGACATCCCCTGTTCAAGCCTCCTGCCAAGTTGCTTGTTGTGGCAAAAGAGCCACTTACCTCACTCATCTATGGTTGCTAAGCCGAATGAGTTGAAAACCCTGTTGCCTGAATCAGCAGACAGTGAAGAAACGACCTTTTCAATGCTTCTCTGGTTTCCTGCGGGATCAAACCATGAAATTGGTAAACACTTCAAGGTGCCAGACGGTGGCCAGTGTAGAATAACGTGGACTACGGCCTCGACTTGCGCAACGTACTGTGGGACAGGGACTCCGTCCATGGATCATTTCAGCACGCTCCCTTGTGGTTGGCTGCCCGATGATGGAGTTGATTTCATTGGTCAATTCCTTGAATCTCTCATTTTGAGGTGGCGCCGATTGTGTGAGCAAGGGAAAGATCACCTCGCTACATGTGTAAGTCTTTCGCACCATCAGTATCCTTGTGGTGCTTTGTACAAGTGTTAATTTATCGTAGCGCTTGGATCAACTGCAAGCCAAGGGTCAACGTCAGGAAATCATCTTGAGGCTTGCCCAAGATGCACAAACGTGGTCCGATTTCCGTAAGACGCTTACAACACAAATGCGTACAGCGACAGCATTCGTAGAGCAGTACTGTCGTCTCTACAACAAAGGCCAACACGAAAAGTATATGATAAATTACATTGAAAGTAGAGAGAGCAGTATTGCCAAGAGGATCAATACACTGGATCAAAAAACACGAGATCTGATGCAGCTTGTAAGTGGGCTTGTTACGAGTGAAGAACTACTCCGCTGATGCAATGCTATGTAGGAATTCGCTTGGGTATCGATCACGGAGGCGCATCGGTCAACAAGTCTCGCAACTAGCATGAAACGTTTGAGCTGGGTCACTGTAAGCTGCTGTCCTTTATCTGAGTCAGGAACTATCATGCTGACTAGGCACATGCAGTTCATCTTCCTGCCAGCAATGTTCGCTTCCGTAAGTCCTCCTCCACATCACTCGGGAAAACCCCAAACTAACGGCTTACCTCGTACAAAGAGTCTATTTGGAATGAACGTCAATGTATTGACAAATGACCCTGATTGGCGTTGGGCGCTCCTTTCAACGGGCATCTGTATCACGTCTACTATGAGCGCGTGGCTCATCTTCAGATTCTTCCCAGTCAGTCTCGGAGCGCTTACACATTTGGCGCAGCTAATACCTTGTAGATCGAATTATGGCTCGAGGAGAAAGTCGGGGACCGCATAGCGCGACTCACTCGAAGCAGAAAAGATGCGAGAGAAAGAATTGATCACACCGCAGTAACGCACCAGGAACATGCATGATTGGGGACTGAAGAAGTTCAAGGTGTTGAATTGGTTGTATGATACATACTTGATAAAGATAGCAGGAGAGGTTCGAGAGTGTCAATCACTTTTGGATATGATGTTCACTTCGCCTGTCCTAGAGACTCTCACTCTCCTCGGTTACATCATGCATAAACTACATCCATATGTTGCGTCGCCATGATTTAGTAGATGACATTTGCTTTGTTGTGAAGCAAACCGCCTCCTGCAAGCCCTGAGCTGAGCAAATTTACATTTAGCGTCCTCCAGCCCGCGCTAGCTCCCGATCGCGTGTTCTGCCATTCACCGCCACGATCTAGGTCTAGGCCTGAGCCCCGCCACCCCTCCAGTTTGCTAGCAATAGTGACACTATCGACATGCTTCATAACGCGCCATACTCCTCCAGCCACGAGCTTCGGCGGCAACGACTGTCTATTCGCATCATCTGATACTGCTTCGGACGAACGCGGGGTATCGTCAACGTCATCGCGACTTTTATATTTTGTGTAGAAGCTATATAGGACCAAGTCACACCACGAAAACGCCGCCAACATGGCGCACCCGCCGATACCAAGCCTCTCGATGCCGCCGCGCTTCGTAATCGAACTCGACCGCACCGACCCCGATGTTCCCTTCCGCGCCTCGCAGTCACACATTCATCACACGTGGGCGCGTACCTTCCACTCTAGGCCCGAGCTCTACCTTCGCCCACAAAGCATCCCCGAGATACAAAAGATAGTGACGCTCGCGCGGCGCATGCGAAGACGCGTAGTAACTGTGGGATGTGGACATTCGCCATCGGAAATAACATGTACCTCGGCATGGATGGTGAACTTGGATGACTTCAAGAAAGTGCTGTCTGTGAGCGAGAAGGAGAAATGTATGACGGTGCAGGCTGGTATACGGATGCATGATCTCAATCTGCAGGCGAAATCCTTCGGGTTGACGATGCCGAATCTGGGATCGATTGACGAGCAGAGTCTTGCTGGGGCGATTGGGACCGCGACGCATGGTAGCTCCATGAGCCATGGTCTACTTTCTGATCGCGTGAGGAGCCTGAGGATCTTATTGGCAAACGGACAGGTGGTCAAGTGCTCGCCGACTCAGTCGCCAGATCTGTTCCGTGCGGCCCTCGTATCGCTAGGCGCATTGGGTATAATCGTCGAGATCGAGTTTGAAATGATCGAGGCCAGTGACATCGAGTGGAAGCAGACCATACTCCCCATTGAAGACGTGCTAGCCGACTGGGAAAATGGACTGTGGACTTCCAATGAGTTTGTGCGAGTATGGTGGATGCCCTACATGAAGCGCGCAATCGTCTGGCGTGCCGACAAAACCACCAAGCCCCATAAGAAGCCCGCATACAACTGGTACGGCGGCAGCATCGGATACCACACCTACCACATTCTTCTCTGGATCAGCCAATTTGTCCCGCGCATTCTGCCCTGGGTAGAACGGTTCGTTTTCGGCATGCAATACGGTTTCAAGGACGGTACCACCATCTCTGCGATCGGCGAGCAGCGCAACGAACTACTCATGAACTGCTTGTACTCGCAATTCGTTAATGAATGGTCCATCCCGCTTGATAAAGGTCCTGAGGCGCTCTCCCGTTTGACAGACTGGCTACATGGCGACGAGCAATCGTCTGGCATTCCGTTCAGCACCAAAGGCCTATACGTCCACTCGCCTATCGAAGTCCGCGTCGCAAACACCCAAGGCCGTGAACCTCGTCCATACCTCGACACAAGCTACCCCGACAAGCCCGCTCTTTACCTCAACGCCACGCTGTACCGTCCATACAACCAGGACCCACCTTGTCGCGAGCGCTACTACCAGGCGTTCGAGCACTTAATGAAAGAATACAATGGTCGGCCGCACTGGGCTAAGAACTTCGAAAATGTCGACTACGCTTATCTTTCGAAGACGTATGGCGCGGATCTGGATGAGTACAATCGAGTGCGCAACGAAGTCGATCCGGAGGGTATGTTCATTGGCGCATGGCATCGACGCACCATATTGCCACCGAAAACAACTCAGCCCTTGTATCCACTCGAAGAGAAAGAAGTCGTCCGTCGTGATCGCAGGAGTGGTGGTGTAGACTGGATCGGCGAGCAGGCAAGGTGGTGGGATGGCGGTGTTGATGTTTTTGAGAAGACGAATGGCAGTGAAAGTGGCGAGAGCTTCGATTTGATGGCGGAGGCGGAGGCGAGTGTCTTGTTGGAGGATCGGACGGATGTGCAGATGTTCAGGTCGGAAGACTTTGGGGATGAGAGGAGGAGGAGAGAGGGGACCCAGGAGTTCGTTACAGGGACGAGCGTGTTCGATAAGATGTAGGTTGGTGGAGTGTAGGTGTCTGGACGGCTTATTGGCGGTGTCTTGAGGCTGGGCGAGGTCGTTGTCGTTGTCGGAGACGTCCATTGCTGCGGATCCAACGGTAGCACCGTGATTTCCTCAATCTCCACACTCAAAATGCACGGTTTATCTGCTTCACAAAATCATTCTTCAAGCGCATCGTATACGTGGAGACGGCTAAATCGACACATCATCGCACAAAATCCACATGCTCATGTATGCGAAGGACCCGAGGAACACATGTTAATTTGCTAATGTTCCTGTTCATAATCCTCGCGTCAGCCATGGTCAACTCTACTCAAAACCTATATATCTACACTCACACATTTCCATATACAGAAGGACGACGGCAATAACGCAGTGTGTAGACTCACTTGCATCCTCAAAGCTCTACTGCTAACATTGTTCAGATTTCATGATACAGTTAATCTAACCCGTGCGCTTGCTCAGTACATTATCGCGCGTTTATAAATTTCATTCACATGGCATCCAGGTGGCGTAGATTCCAGTAGCTACAATGCTACAAAGCCACGCAAGAGATCAAAACACCCTACACATTAACCCTAAAATAACCGCAACCCCTTCCTCGACTTCTGCATCTCACAACTCCTCCTCATTGGCCTCCTCAATGGCCTCCTTGACCTGCATGTGCAAGTCCTCCGCCTTCACATCCTCGACGGCACAAGCCTCCCATCCATTCACCAGCGCTCGTAGCGTCACGTCACCATCATCGTTCAGCTTCATCGCCGCCAGGAAGTCGCACAACTTAATGCTGCCGATCATGACACGGCTCTGCAAATGCTTGTAGTTGCGCACCTGAATCGCCGAGTACGGATGCGCCGCGCCAACATCGAGAAAGACACGCTCGAAGTTCGACATCGCCAGGAATGCCTCAACGAGCTCCATGATGGTGTAGGTGGGTGCGACGGGGCTGTGGAGTTGGCGCAGGAACTCGCCGAGCATCACGATGCCGATTTGCGTGTTGATGATGCGGTGGGGATTGTCGGGGCGGCGAACAATGGGGACGGCCTGCGGTGCGGTGTAAACCGTCACGGTACGCTCGAGCTGAGCGGGCTCGTGAGCGGGAGTGGCGGAGCGATGGAAATTTGCAGGGAGACCATCCGGAACGTGTCGAAGGGTGCCAATGTAGGCTACAAGTCGAATCGCGGAGTCTTGAAGAGGGATGTCCATAACGGTCTTGCGAGCGAAAAAGGGTCCGAAGACAGGACGCGGAAGGGCTGGGGCAAAGGCCTTCAGATCTTCGGTGGTGAGGGCGATCTGGGGCATCTCCAGAGCAATCTTATCAGGAGAAGCCGGTGGTGCAGAAGCAACCACTGGGAGACCAAAGCCGTGGTAGATCGCCACTGCCATGTAAGGCTCATTGATCTTGGACTCGGCGTACGACTCCTCGTCGGCCACAGCTAGGACCAACGCAGTGCCAGTCTTGAAAGAGCCCAGGTTCTCAGTGGTGGCGGCAAGGGGCTCGAAAATCTTATCCTGAATTGCGACGGGCTTGGACTCGTCGTCGATGGGTGACGACTCTTCTTCAGAAGCCAGGGAGGTGTCGGTGTCGGTCGTGGTGTCATCAGACTCTGAGGTTTCGATGACTTGGACGATGGAAGCGGTGGACTTGCTGACGTCCAACTCAGTGCTCTCTAGATCAATGCTCTCCGACTCAGTGACCTCAAGCTCGATAGTCTCCAGCTTGGTGGGTTCCAGCTTCTCGATCTCAGGCAAGGCGGTGGACGCACCAAACACGATGGGGGTGTCTGTAGCGTTGCCGAAATCGTAGCTCGCAGCTACTGGAGACAGGACGGAGACAATCGAATGACCAGAAAGCGAAGAGGTGCCGAAGTTGAAGCCGTTCTCGGGCAGGATAGAATTCCAGGTCTTGGGCACCTGGTCGTCTGCAATGGCCAACTTCATCTTCATATCCTTCTCCTTGGCCATCTGCATCTGCTTGGCAGTGGCCTTTAGAGAAGTTGCGTTCATGACCTTCAGGATCTTCGCAGCACGGCCTTGAAGGATGGGCTGCGCGCAGGCGTCAAAGTACCACATGTACGATGGGAGGTTCTTGATCATCACACGCTCGCCGTCAGGCTTTGCCGCGTTCGCATGAAGTGACTTTCGCAGCGACTCCTCAGCACGCTGCTTGTTTAACGCCATTACATCCTCTTCGTCCCGGTCTGCAATGTCTTGGAGATCGTAGACGTCCATCGGTAGTTCCCGGTCAGCCGCATCGCTCTCAGCAAGGCCCTTGATGATGGCGATCTGCTGCGGAATCTTCTGTACGCGAGCTGCAGCGGCCTTGGCCGCGGCAATAGAGGCGGCTTCCTCAGGAGTGCGGACCTTCTTCTCCTTCTTGCGCTGGGCGCCAGACTTCTTGTTCTTGCGAGCCTTCTTGAGGGTCGCAGAGGCGTCTTGCGCGTCAGACTGCGCAGCCGCATCTAGGGAAATGTGAGTATCATTTGAGAAGAGGCGGGAAGTAGCGGACGTACCTTGTGCAAAATCATCCAGAACGGCGTCATCCAAGGTGGGAGTGGAGACATCATTAGCCAGCTGAGTGGTCTCAGCCGAGACGGAGACTGATCCAACGTTTGAAGCAACGGCGGGTGTTGCAACAGGAGTGGACTTGTCGCCATTCTTCAATGTGTTGGTGACGTCGACCTTGGTGTGAGTCGCGTCCTTCACATCGACCTTCTTGTGGTCAGTCTTCTTGGGGAAATCAGCGGTCTTCGGGGTTGAAATGGGAAGGGTAGCCGCAGTATCCGTGCTCTTTACACCCTTCTTGTTCTTGCGCTGAGACTTCTTCTCAGTCGCAACGAGCTGCTGCGTGGTCTTCGGCTGGGCTGCGAGAGCATTGGCCTCTTTCTCAGCCTTGTCGCTCGGAGCAGATGAAACGGTGGCAACCATATCAGAGTATGACTTCTTGGTAATGGCAGTGGCCTTAGCAGGCTGTGAAGAGGATGCAGGCAAGATAGGAGCCAACAGATGAGCTGCACCACCGTTACCCGCAAGCTTGATCGAAGGCCCATTGTTCGCTGAGGACTTCTTCGTCGGTGAAGTAGGCTTCTTCACGGACTTGGAGGGCGTTGTAGCCTTCGACTTCTCGCGATACGGAGCAGGAGCAGGGGTGGCCTCGGGCTGCTCGATGGCCTTGATAGGCTTCGCAGCTTCAGGCGAACTCACTGAGCTTGAGGAAGTCGTAGAGCGACGCGACTCCTGAGTCTTCTTCGCGCAACCGAAAGCAGCGCTATTCAGAACCTTGGCGTCATCAATCTCGCGAAGAGCAGCAGCCGTCATGAAATCATCGGACGGCTGAGTGGATTTCGAAGGCTCACGTGGAGCTGGCACGCCCTTGGGAGCCACCATCGTGAGCGTGAATGGCCAAGAAGGCTTCTTGTTGTTGGCGGGGACGGGCTTTGGCCCCTTGGGCGAAATCAGGGGCGCCGAAGTCTGCGATGAGTTCATCGAGGCCAACGACTTCGCGGAGTTTGACGATGACGAAGTCTTGCGGGCGTTCGACTTCTTCTTAGGCTCCTGGACCTTCCAGAATGCAGGAATGGAACCTGGAGCGGGACCGGCGGCGACGTTGGCGAAGGAACCGGGGTGACTCACGGTAGGCTGAGCAACCTGTGAGCGAGCCGCATTTTGCTTCCACACCGTGAGGGTGTTGATGTGCGAGGTCTGAGCCAGGCCAGAATTCGCGGCATTGGCATAGCCGGTGACCATTGAGACCGGGGCTACCTTCACAGGCGCGGGTCCAGTGGACGGCTTGTCAGTGATCTGGGTGGGAGCTGCGACCTTGGCCTTCTCCTGGAAGAAGGACTTGTCGGGCTTGGCAGCAGCGAAGTCGGACTTTCCTCTTGCCATTGTGTGTGGTTTTTTCGATTGGCTTAGTGAGTTCGAGTTGTGTAGGAGGAGGGATGTTGCTCGTGTGTTCGGACACGTGCAAGAGAGAGAACGTTCGTGAGACACTGTCTGATAGGAGCTAGAGCTGTGGTTGATGTCAGTCTCCGGACTTGATCAAAGCCAGAGTGTAGAGAGAAAGCGATTTGGGCAAGATCTTGGGTGGTGTGTAGCTTGTGAGAGATCTGGAGGGGAGAGGCGTGGCGGGCTAAACCGGATTGGGCGTTGGAGTGAATGACAAGAGTGATCACGTACCTGAGAGCTGGTGGTCCAAAGTGGCTGTGTGGTTGAGAAACGTGTTTAGAAGCTTGATCAGAGTCTGGTTGATTAGTCTGGGAGTTGAGTAGATCAAGTCAAGGAGCCAAGGGTGGTGGAGAGAGAACTGGCGAGGTTGGTGGGCATTAAGTATCCAGAGGAGAGGAACGAGGAGTCTGTGCGCAGGGTGCGAGCCTGATAGCCCTCGCCTGCGGTCCTAGGTAGCTCCAATCACGATCAGGCGCTTTGGTGTGTCGTACGGGCAAGGGGTATCTTTCATGGGGCGACTCTGGCTCAGTGAAACATTCACTTGCATCGGGATGGAATGATGGGGGCAAAGCTGTGCCGAAAAGGCACCGAGCATCCCAGCAGTCCTTGAGAGTATTGATGTATATAGTAGTCAAAAATGCCTGTACCTATTGGCCATCATCAAGTGAACAGATACGATATCTCTTAAGACGCGAATCTAACGAGGTGCTCTACATTGCCTTTAAGAGGCCCCAACGTGTTATCAACTTGCTACGAACAAACTAATAGCAAGTACAAATCGACTCAAAGATGAATTGGAGGCTTCTGGAAACCAACGACCTCCTCATGGAGAGCTAGAGCCTGGGATTGTTATCTTAATTGTCAATATCATCAGTTGAGCAAACATGGGAACACACACCTTTAGATCAAACCACGTAGAATAGCTTAGAACCTTAAATGATACTTTGACCCTTTACATGATTGCTTTGAGAATTTGTGATTGCAACACAAAAGCCGACCTACAGATTCATTTTCCTGTACTCATTAGCACACGAGAATATTATCGCCTATCGCGCGGAGCATGATCAAAGAGAATGGGACAGCGCAGAGTTTGTCGGATCGCTATGATTATAAGAGCTATCATTTTGGTCTTAATGAGCTACATGTGCCACATGAACAATGCCCGACTCAATATGCTACGTCTGGGTGCAATACTGGTGCCGCAATTCTTGTATGTATCATAGTCAAGTGATGTCCTAAGCTCCTCTGGAGACTTTATTGTGAACAGCAGAATTTCGCGTTGTGCAGTATCTCCTGCAGTACGACAGAGCTATTTCCACGAAAGATCTAAGATGAGGTCAATGCTATCACCAAGACTGAATGTCTGTACATGCATCCTGATGCAGGGACCAAGATCGAGAAGCTTATTTTCTGGGTCGAAACACTAGGCATTGGGAAGTAATAGGCTATTAGACGTGCACGTGATTGATAAGAACACAGGAGGACGTCAGCAGATAGGCCTTACAAGGAGACAGCCCATCGATAAGGTCATCTTTGCAAATTGACTGCCCCTTCAGAAAAAACATTAGCCTCATTTCCATTTCCTTTTTATATATTCCATCGTGAATCACGAGATTGGTGATTGGGCTATTATAGGTCATGCAAACGTGTGAGGTGAAGGAAACTTAAAACGCCTCAACCTCCCCTATTTGCCACTACAACACTATCGATCCTTCCCGAAGCCACCTGAGATGGGTCCTATTTCGAACCTGTCTTTACATATTCGACCCCACATACGAGCCGAGCGCTCGAGCAACCGTCTTTCCCACGGCGGTTCCGCGAGAAGCCATCTCCTTCTCTGCGCTGACGATGCACGCCTGCACGACACCTGGAAGAGTCGTCCGCCCGTACTCAAACTCCAGCAGCACCAGGAAGTCCGCCAGCTTTGTCTGGACCACACGAACGATATTCTGAAGAATGGGCGACTGTAGAGCCTTGCCCACTTTTGAAGTACCCATAGACGGCCGCATACCGACCATCTCGCGCTCTCGGTTTGCGCACGAAACGAACACCTCAGCGACCTACTTCTTGGAGTAGGTGTCGTCGATTGGTATGGGCATGAGCGATACCCTCGATGATGTCAGCGATGCAGATGCTGCCCATGTGTAGCTGGGTTCACACGGATGTCAACCAGGGTCATCCGGTCTCTCAGCGGGGGCGCTGGCGATGCTCTTAGCCGCCACAGAAGACTGGATCACTGAGCTGCAACTCCTGAGCACTTGCAGGTGAATTGCGAGATGGTGAGGCCGCAAGAGACTTGGAGTTTCCGTCGTAGGACTCCTGTTGTGCAAAGATCTCAGCCTGCACGATGTCGCAGAGTCGCAAAACATTGTCTTCGAGCTCCACAAGGATGAGTATGATTTGGAGGCTGGAGCGATCGTCAGTCGTATCGACACTCTGAAGGGGCTCAGCATTATCGAACGCGTCTTCGAAGCCGAATTGGAGACCGAAGCGGCCATCGCTCATCACGATATCTGCGAGCGATTTGGAAGGTACAGGAATCATCTCGACCACGGCTTCGACCAGATCCTGCTCGTTGGTCACTCTAATAAATGACTCCTTCTCCAAGATCTGCTCGATATCAGTCGACCTCTGAATGATATTAAGAACTACTGGGGATATGTGCTCCGCCAATGGGAGTTGTCCATTGATGGTTGGCGTGATGGTCTCCGGCACTTCGACAGTAGCGGTCTGCTGAATGTGGGCGGTGGGCTCATTCATGGCGGCTTCATCCGCAAGAACTTTTGCAGAGGCCTTCGCCTTCTTGGCCTGCTTCTTCTGGGCTCTAGATTTCTTGGAGGCCTGCTTACGGGCAAGCTTCTGCTGAGCCATGAGTCAGCTTGGGTCTTGATGCTTGAGGGTGGTATGGGTGGCGGCGTTGGGAGAAGTTGGTAACGGAAGACATAGCTGTAGGTTGTTCTAGGTCTTGAAAGGTTGGGAGAAAGGTGAGTGTAGGAGATTTGGAAGAAATTTGGTGGCTGTTTGGAAACAGATGTGAGAGATTTGAGAGAGAGACAGAGTGTTTCTTGTGAAAATGAGCTTTTGGGCTTGGGATGTATTTGAGTTGAGCTTTCTATTTCGAAGTTGTGGAGAGAGAGTCCAGTGAAGAGGCCGAGGGGGGTTACATGGGAGGAGAGCGAATTAGGATCCACTAGCGCATCGATTGAGCATGAGCTTGCACAGTACAGCTCCAGGTAGGGTGATGTGATTGTAGCTGTTGTCTTACAGCGTTTTGTGCGATTTTGTTGTAGAGTGATAGACCCCTTTCACAGTGATGCGATGCGTCTCCAAAGGCAACGGAAATCTGGGGGCAGAGTATCATGAGTGTTTCATGGCGGGTATATACAGCAGCATTTTGCATTAGCTTATGGCTGTTTATACTGTGCAGCAGCAAATTATAAAATGGGCGGTATTTCTATCATACATCATGTTATACCAAACTCATCTACATTCATGTTTTCAACAACAGCTTTACACAATTATTAGGATTGAAGCAAACATGCACGCAAAATGACACGGTGGTTTCACGACACGGTTTTTGTTTTTGTGTGGCATAATTCATGTTGTAGTTCAGGGGCAAAAATGTTATTCAATCTATCTCAGGCGTCTCCTACCCAGAATGCCATAATGATATTGCAACTCCGACGAAAATCCAAACTCAGCACCAAATCATCGCAGACTCTAGATCTGTCCCAACCGCCGCCCGAGTGCAGCCATTAATCCTGTCGTCGCTACAGTCCTCAACCGCACATTCTCCCGACTCAACAAGCCAAAGACGCAATGCACGTCATCCAAACTCATATCATCTTTAAAATGAGACAAGAACGTTGCAAGCGACGTCGTCCCAAGGAATATGGTATGCGGTATAATGCTGCTCCCCATGACTGCGCCTGCCGTATATGAAGCCGGCAGAGAACGCCCACCAAGCTTCTCTCGCTCGAGGCTAACAAGCTTCAAGAAGGTGGCCACAATTGCGAGATTTGTTGTCGTGCCGTTGTCGGCGGCTTGGAGGTGCGAGAGGAAGGTGGAGAAAGACTCTGTGCCCAATGTAGCCTCCACGAGCTCAGATGAGCGTGCGTCTTCTTCTGGCACATTGAGGACGGTGACCTCCTTGGAGATGAACTCCAGAAAAGGATCAACCACATCCTCATCTTCCGAGAAGCTCATATCAGTGTCAGGTGTGACTTCGCCCTCAGCTTTGACCAACTCTTGCGTACGGTAGGTGCAATCGGCGCGAAACGACCCTAGCAACCCGTCCATGTTGACATCCTCATCAGTGTCCTCAGATGATGAGGTGTTAGCCTCCTCGTGCATCTTAAGTGGCGAATCGAGCTTGCGCGGCGAAGCATTCGATTTGACTGGCGAATACTCAGATTCGAAGTCTGAGTCGCCATCATCGAGCATTATGTCCATGTCGTACATGGGTTGAGTGAGGTCAACAATGCGCGTGTGTCCATTGGTTGCTGCAAAGAACATGCGCTCGACGTCAGCTTCGTCTTCGCTTTCGTTGGACGAGGTCATGCCAGCATCCTGGACGATTCGCAGAGGCGATTCAAAGCCGATAGAGGTAGCGATTGACGTGGACGGAGGAGGGGTAGCAATCGGCTTGTAGGGCGAGGCAATCGAGTCGAAGTCCGAGTCGACATCATCATTGTTGATGGCGACGTCATATAAGGTTTGTCGCATGTCGACCAGGCGAGTAAAGCCATCTGTATCGGCGAAGAACATACGCTCTGAGTTCCAGAGCTCGACGATGTTTTGGGCGTTCTTGTGTATGGCAATCGGAGAAGCGGACTCGTGTAGCATGCGCGCCAGGTTCTGAGGGTGCACTTCATTGTCGACTGAGTCGTACTCTTGTGCAGTGAACTCGAGCTCAGGCTCCTCAATGACTTCGAGATGAGCATCAGTCTCGATGAATGCAGACGCACACGCGCTTGGCTGCTCGGATGCTTTTGACAGTTGAGTCTCATACTCTGGGCTTGCAGGGACTGAGCCGGAGGTGTCGCTCGACTCCCCCAGTTCCTCGTAGTGCAGGGATGCGCAATCCTCTTTTGTCGGCTCGGTACTAGTCGCATGCTCCGATCTGATCTCGGTGACCTCTACCTCTGTGCGCTTTCCGAGTACGTCGAAGATGCTCGGAGTCGAATGGCTTGAGAAGATCGAGCTCTTATTCGACATCTCATCGGAAAGAGGCTTAGTCATGGAGGCTGGAAAGATCCAGTCAAGCATCGCATCGACCTTGGTAGTTGTCTGCGTCGGAGAGCCAAAGGTAAAGAACGAACCATCAGACTCGGTGAACGCTGAAAAGAACGGTGCCTTCATAGGCTCGTTCTTCGCCTTGTCTTCCACAGTCTCTTGGCGGAATGCGATCGGTGTCAACGGATTTCCGTAGTTGTCTGGGGTAGGGTATGCGCTGCTACCGGCCTGACCCGTGAAAGTTGGCACAGAGGCGGCCGGCACGCGCTGCGCAGGTGAGTACGAAGCTTCCTGACCACATCCTACAATAGGCAGTGGAGTGAGATTCGCCAGAGCGGTTGCGCGGACGGCGTTGGTAGCTGCACGGCGGGCGACGTTGGGGTCGTCGCGGGGTGCTGGGGCGATTGGAGGATGTCGACATTTCTTGTTGTGTGCCAGTGATTTCTTCAACGATGTTTTTTCTGTCACCAGCGAAGCGTCTTTGTCAACGAGGTGCGCAGCGCGAGGAGTGAGAACTGTGCCTGTGGTCTTTATGTTAGACATCTACGTACGGATGCGTCCATAAGAGAACCTACCGTCGAGGTGGGTCTTACGCCCTGTGGCAGGATTGATCTTGATGTCGGTACCAGTGGCCATAGCGGAGGCGTCTAAAACCATATATTGTCAGTGATCGCGCGTACCAGGTTGTATGTGATCTCATACCATGTGCGGTGGTTGAGGCGCTCTCCTTGGGCCTTCTGCTCCTGGTCCTCCTTGAACTTCTCGGCTCGGATAAGCGCCTGCTGGCGGAGCGTCTTGCTGTGCTTGGAGACCATTGTGGAGAGGGTACCTGTGCGGGTGTGTTTGGGGCTCGCTCGAAGGTTTTCGGCGGGCTGGAGTCGGTTATCGAGAGTAGACTATGTCATTGGCTGAGGGAAAAGGACTTCGTGGAGCTTTGTAGTGTGATTTCGGAGAGCCGATAGTCAGAGAGCCGGCGGTTGGTCAAGGTAGTCAGAACTTGTGGCAGCGAGGTGAGCGGACAAGAGGGCACGAATGGCGGACAAGCTGTTCTATGCTAGGCTGTAAACGGATCGACTCAAAGTGAAAGACGATATTCGGTGCCGTCATGTTCGCCGACGTTGAGGCCATGACAGCCAAGAGAGGTGAAAGTGAATACGAGACAACTCCTCAAAAACCATACACTTCAAATCGACAAAGTGTCTATAATGCATGACAGAAGTTCAGTGATGGAAGAAAATGAGTATTGCACCGGAATTTGAAGCTATAGGAAATTTGTTGCGGGGACGCAAATCTATAATGGGTGCAGGAGGTGACCTTAAATATTCAGGACTGCACACGTCGACACAGCGATGTAAATCGAAACCATATCAAACTACCGTACGGAGATGGGAGCCACGATCCGTATCAAAACCTGGCGCATGGGGTACTGTTGCTAGGTCCAAGTTTGGTGGTCGGTCTGGAATGCAAAGGAAAGTACATGGGTTTGCTGTACGAACTGTGTACTCTACTAATTTTTGTGAAGTTGGCAATGCTCTGGAATTGAAGCTCAAGGTGACGAGCTCATGATGAGATAGGTTCGTTTCGTGTAGTGCGGATGTAGCGCGCTCATCGACGGACGACCGCATCACATTCGCAATGTCGGATACGTGAAGCTTAGTATTAAATTGGAAATTCCACGCCATCGATGGAGAAATTCACATATGACCTCAGTGCAAGCAAGCAGCGAGTCGATAATCGTGCTTTGTGAAGGGCCACGAAGGGCGATGAAGATCTGACGTTTGTCAATTTGTGGAGGGAGGCACGTGCGCACGCGATGGATTGTGGATCCAAAGAAACGCGTCCGCGCGACTCCGCAAGTACACGACCAACTCGCAACTTCACGCCGGTCCCAAAATGTCGCAGGCTGAGAACACAACGTATCGCACGATCAAAGGCAACAAATTCGCCTACAATGGGGAATCACACACCATCAACGGCTACCTCAAAAGTTCTCCTGCTGCCATATCTGAGGAGCTTCGTCGACAACCAGTAGTAGCATATTTGAAGGCACAGAGGATATTCTGGGGTTGGAGCTTGCCCGAGTTGTCCGTCCCCATCTACAAACATGAGATGATGGAGGAACTCGAACGTTTCTGCAATGGCGGAGAAAGCCCGCCGGTACGCACCCCAACGCCTAATGAAGACCATCGCAAACCACACTCATATCGACGCTAAACAAGTATCAGTTTCGCCATGCCCCTCTGAGTATCTTTAGCGAACTCGAGAGGGAATGGAACACGAAGAACGCATCCTCGTCGACGAACACAGGCCGGAAACGGGAACAGGATGATGTCCCGATGGAATCGCATGGGGAATCTTCACGCAAGAGAGCCCGTGTCACTGGTATACCCAAGGCCTCCACTGCAGATCGTGCGCAACCTCTGGCTGTGGCCCTCCTGAGGCCCGCACGCGATCAACCGGATTGCCAGGCGCCAGTTGTCAAGACGGAGCAACGCGTAGAGACAGAGCTTCAGCCAGATGGCCTTGGCCCTCTCTGGAAATCGCGCTGGCAGCAGGACATCGAGAAATATCGGTTCACGGATTATCACTCGAGGATTGCCGGTAAATATGCAATCAGTTGTCCAGTCATCGAACAACGATACCCAGGCCTCGAAGGGAAGCTCGTCATAAGAATAAGAATTCTCCATAGTGACACAAAACATCAAGGGGTGTTCGAGGCTGACATCGATCTCGGCCTTTTTAAGGGTTCTGCAGCAATGGGCATCGACGAGCACTCTCTTGCCGACTGGTGCTACCGACAACAAATGCGGTTGCAGCCAACCGAGAAAAACATGGAAATCAAGAGATTGGAAGACGAAGCCAATGATGCTCATCTCTCAACTTGCGGAAATCCCTGCATACGGTCATCGCAATACAATGCCCGGAGTATAAAGGCAAAATGCGACATCTCGAAATGCGCCAGACTTTTCATGCAAGTCAGACTCAAGGACGAGAAGGATCTTTTTATGCGGCAAGGGGCGATCCTTGGCTGTGAGGGCGAGATTGAATTCCACGATCTCCATGGTCTCGAGTTCGAAGGGGATATCGATCTTCCTATGCTTGGCCCTGATCCTGTCAAATTCAGAGGCTATAAAGTCAAACAACTACTAAAGTCAGACGTCGTCGATACTCTCTGGGGAAAGATCCCCACCAGCGCAATCAAGTATGGCGATGCATGGAACAAAGCTTGAGCTTGTTTTTAGGATGCTGTTGCGGTTCCGAGCGCCTGATGTAGGATCCGCTCGCAATATCTACATACCCCGCCTTCTTCATGAGCTGCGATCCGAAGCTGCATACCTACATCGCTTACATCGCTGCGATCTTGATGTCCTCGCAACGCTACTGAAAGCAATCCTCTTTTCAACTCCGGTGGTCGGTCGTTGACGCCAGCATTCTTCCACGTCTTTTGACGATGCATCGCACCCACAATCGGCCTTACTCTTCTCACAACAACGCCGCATGCGTACCTCCATAACCTCAGATACCAACCTCGAGAGATATTGCTCGTGTGCGCGCCTAGAAGAAGATCACTTCGGACGTCAGGATACCGATCGGCGTCCAAGGTCTACACGGAGGTATGACCCAGCTCCGAACAGGGATACTATAAGATCATCTCCGCTTCCACACTGCGAGCCGACTGGATGCGTAACCACGTACAAAAGCTGTGTACGCGTGTTGTAGATAACGCTAGGAGTGACCATATCTTATTGGACGCGTCAAGCTGCCAGCCTATCAGAAACCAGCAGCTATCTGGGGTGCAGTTGGGATGCTTGTACATGTGTGGTGGCGCACGGACGTGGACATGGAGACCCGAGAAAGCCATAAGACCTTGATGTAAGCTGCCGTTCTTCTGGGCTAGATTCCCCATCATTGTTGTTGGACATACATATTGAACACAATCTTATATATATATTAGCGTTCTGCCTTATCGCACCCGAGCCCGACTCCGCACGTGCCAACGCTCTTCACCGCACCCAAACCATATCCCCTTTCGAAATAGCCCATCGTCTCAAATCTCACACGCGCCAAACTCCCTTCCACAACCCCACCAGTTACATCAATCCACTTAGAATGTCCCCAACAACCCGCTCTCTCGAAACAATGATGCTCCAAGCCCACCGCGCCAAAGGCGTGCGTTACCCCACCGCCAACCAAAAAGACTGCTTCAAAACATGGTACTCGTATGCGCTGCGGCAAGGCGAGGCGCAGAAGACTGGACCAAAGGTCTTACAGGAACATGGAAAACATTTGAAGGAGGTTCGGGACGCTGCACCAGGAGGTCGGACGTATTTGTAGCTTGGGAAGGGGAGTGTGGCGGTTAGTAGGGAGAGATGAGTATGGGTGGGAAGAAGTGAAAGGATGAGGTAAGTGACTCGTTTGAGAGGGTTGGACTCAGTACTTATGGCTAAAGTTGAGAATACGATCACCTTGCTTTATGCTTGCTTTTCAACTGCTCCGTTCAAATTTTGTCTGTTGTGCACCAGCATAGGACATTATGGTTTGTCGCACGAATTTTCGCCCTTGTCATATATACATTCACAGCATTTCTTTGAATATTTTGAACGATGTTCGCGAAGGCAACCGAGCTACTGCCGAATCACTCATCAAGAACTTGGACTTGCGGAACAGGTCACAGTGTGTTGCGAACGGAGGGATCCCGGGGACATAAGCATCCTTCCTCGATCTCTTCCATAGGTCTCACTTGCTCATCTTCTCAACTGCTCCGAGCTCAACTATTCAGTCAAACTGTGATTCATAACGTGTGCCTCTCAAGTCGCCTTCACGCCAACTCCGAGCAGTTAAAAGCCATGTCACTGGAGAAGAACACTTCGTCGAAATGGGCCGCCTTAGCGTCTCCGCAGAATCCTGGGCCGTCTCATGTTACATCACTGTTGGTGAATCTTCCTGTCGAACTCATCGACAACATCTATCGACAGCTGGACAATGTACGCGACGTAGCAAATATGAGACTTTCCTGTACCCAGATTGGCTTCTCCAATATGCGCGGCGACACGCTTCAGTATCTTTACCAGAATCTGACATTTTCGCACACCCCAGAAGGATGGATGGACTATATGGCTGTAGCTGAACACCATGTTGGAGGAGCCAAGGGCCAGGTTTACAAGAGCTCGGAATGGGTTCGCAGAGTGGTGTATGAAGACATCTTGCCTGCCACTCTCGATGATCTCGGTCTTCACAGTATCGCCGCTCTCACCATGGAAGTCGCACATCCTGGACTGTCACCTTATGAAAAATACATTGACTACGTGGACGCGATTGAACACTTCCTTGTGCATGACGAAGACCTGACAGCGGTTGAAGCTATCGCAACGAAGTTCGTTAATCTTGATACAATCGAATATCACCCCGGATTTCAAGATGCGCGACAGGGGTACCAGCCCCGTCGAGCAATGTTAAGTGTCATCGAACAGACCGCCGACATGAACGATGAAGATGATGAGGATGATTTCCTAAACATAGAAGTTTCAAAACATCTCTGAAGCACCGATCTTGCACCTGGAAGACCAACACATCCCAGAGTCTTCTTGACCCATCAGTCGAACACGTCCATCTCTTGGTCAATGCCGCTCTGGAGAACCCTTTGCGCAAAGCTCCACTCACTCATCGCATCAAAACTCTCCACCCTTATGCGTTCGCTTATGGTTATGATGACCAGCAGTGGCCAAAGAACAATAAGCTCCATCATATTGACATCCAGTACATCGGCTTGAATAGATCAGAAGATCACGACATGGGAGACTACCAGCTTTTTAGCGATCCAGGTACCATACACCGCTTCACGAATATGCGCACACTGCGACTCGCGGGCGCACACCCTCATCTCAACGGATCACTGAATCTACAGCGTCTCGGCTCAAAGGACTGCAAGCCCGAGTGGCCAAACCTCACCGATATCACTCTCGAGAACGTCAAGCTCAGTAGTATCGCAGTTGGGTTTGTCAAGACGCTACAAGTGCACGCTCACTTCCGAAACGTCATTTGGTTGGGCAAGTCTATTCTCGACTTCGACAAGGGCTCGGATTTTCTACAGGTCGTCGTCATGGGCGTGCATGTTGCAAGATACACACAAGTCATGGGCTTTGCATCAGCATGGAATAGTATGACAGATGAGACGCTCGCAACGGACCTTGTGCCTGTCAATTTGCCGAATGGCGATAATCCCAACGAGACTACTGATGTATTTCTTGTGTCCTACGACCAGGAGGGAGCGCAGAAGCTTGCGGTGGAGTATGCGCCTTTCTGCAGACCACATCTACGACCTGATGGGCAGGATGTTCCATTCGTGTTGCCGCCTGATCTTGGGCGTTACATGATGCAGGGTGGGTTATGTCATGGGCAATTCTGGGCAGAAGGGTGGCAAGATCAAGGTCGCAGATGAGTAGACTAGATGATGTATCCTTCGCGCTTGTAGCATGAATGATGTACGTACTGTACTGCATGTCGTATCAAATCAGCTTCGTACACAATTCGCTCAATTGCTCTGAATAAAATTCGGAGATGTTCAACGCAACATGTTGCTCTTTAGCTAAGTCTCCGCTCACGTTCCAACGCCCCTCATTACCGTCACAGTATGGACATACTTCACTTTACCATCGACGACTCTGATCTCATGACTATCCGGCCACGCACCCAAACTATCAAACTGACATAGCACGTCAACACTACCCATAACCTCATCAATCACATATCGCCTCAAGCCATTCTTCTTCGCACTACCACCGCGTGGAAGCGATGCGCCACAAGGACTCGTATATGCTGCATCACCTTGTCAGTACCCTTCTCACATCCTTCCGCGACGATGAAAACTTACAGCTCCCCTCCACCCTCTCACACTGCGTTCCCCACGGAATACTATCCGCCGCATTCTTATCCGTCCACATATCTAAATACGCATCACCGACTTTCTTTAAAAGTTCTCTACTCGGCCTCTGCCCCTCGGCAATGTCGCTCCAATCTTCTTTCTGGATGTATCCTAAGGTCTTTTTCGCGTCGAAGAACAAATCCCCGGTTGTTGCGGCGACGGTGTCGATCATGCTAATCGTACCGGTATCGTTGTTCGCGTGGCGCAGCTGTGTGGATACGACGAATGGTTTGGCACCGCTGGTGCTGATCCACATTGTGTAGGAGGCGCACGCAACGGTGTCGGCGGTTGATCGGTTCAGTGTTATAGCGTATGGCGTACTTAAGAGGCCTTTAGCAATGTCCAAAACTTTGTTGTTTTGCTGGTAGGTGAAGTTCGTCGTGGCCAGGGCGAGAGCGCCAGGCTTGCCTGCGGTTTGGGCGGCGAGGTACGACTGCGCGGCGGACAGGAGGCCTGCGCGTGTGCATTCGGCTGTTGCAATGGAATTGAATGAGAGTGTTGCTACGATAGCAGTGGTGTAGCAAAAGTTAATCATGTTCACGTTTTTGTTCCAGACAATAGTCACTTCTGAAGAGTTAGTCGAAAGATCGATCGAGCTCGGGTGTCGTTTCTATAGGCTTTATGATGGCATGCAATTATGACATACTCTTATTCTCCGCACAAATGATCACTCATGCACAATATGTAGATGAAAACTTGTCATTGGTAAGCTCATAAGCGAGAACTATGAAGATGTTACTGGTCTTTAGATTATTGCGATATGCGGTAGAGTAGCGATATAACATGACGGGATTATCAGCGCATACGCGGCAGTTGAGGCTGGAAGAAATACAAAGCAGACAGGCCGCGCTGGCGACCAGTCAAACGTCTGCAGCGACTAGCATGATTTTGTAGACCCACAAGGCCACGTATCGGCCCCACCTCTTCTGAATACTTACATCCCGACCAAGGTCATGCTTGATCATCTGCTCACGCTCCAGCCAGCCAATGCCCATATACCCTTCACCACACTTTCCTCGCCATCATGCCCTCTCAAGCTCCGCTTTTTCTTGTTCAATTGAAACCTCCTCAAATCCTCGAACACGGCCACAAGCACATCCTTAAACTCATTGCTCGGTCTTCCAGTCCAATTATCTCCGACAATCTTCTTGCAACACCGGTCAACCACCAGGTTCATGACTTCGTGCCGTCGCGTCGGCCACACATCTGGCTGCGCATTGTGACTGATGCTTTGAGAGACAAGCACCGTGTACAGATGTAGAAGTGAAAAGTTTGCAGTGCTAGTGACATCTTGCGACGCACTTATGATAGTATTCCACGATATGTCGCAATCAGTGAGGCCGAGAGACGCGTTTGCTTTCCAAAACAAGCGATTCGTTCGTGGCACTGTCGTCAGCCACTTCGGCACTGTGCTGCTCGCGCTCGACATCAAACGCGTCAGACGAACGAGGGGGATAGCAAGACCAATCGCAACGTCCGGGCGACCGAGAGAGTCCCAGGATGCAGCGATGAGATTGTAACAGTCGAGAAGAGGATCGTTGTCGAGAACTCGTCGAGCGTCATTAGGGTTTGCAGTCTGTACGAGAGCTGGGATGATGGCGACATCTAGGAGTTCGGTCACAGTGAACTTGCCATTGGACTTGCGCTGCCATAAGGTTCGTACCCCAGACCAGATATGAGCCATGAACGTGTGGAGCCGCTCTGGAGGCTGCTCGCATAGTGCCTTCCAGATTGAGGAGGCATCGAAGGAACGCTTTGTGTCTCGAACATACATGGCACGTCGGCAACTTGGACAGCAGTTGCTGTTCCCACGACCTGTGCGCATCCATTTTTGGATGCAGAGATGACCGAAGACATGTCCACAACCGGGTAATGCGGCAGGCTGGTGGTCTTTACCAAAGACGTCGGTGCAAATGAGGCAAGTCTCCGCTGGGCGAAGCTGGGTGTTGATGAAGTTCTCCATGGTAGTCAGTTATTGCAGCGCAAATGGAAGCTTTCTCGTTGAACATACCGTTATGACCTGGAGGGCGCATACGCTGATGAACATGCTGGCGAATGATGTTTGCGATTCACCATTCGTCGTTGTGAATCAACAGAGCCGTGAAGTTGTTTGCGTGGTCACTAGATCATTGTCGTTTGTACAACACCTAGCGTAATCATTGACGCTCCAGTTCAGATAGCTAAAGATCCTTTCGCCAGCATGGCCACTTCCATTTTGAGGTTTGGATGTTCTTACGTTTCAGAAAAAATCTTAAAATTGCATAGGCATCCCTTGCGTCGCGCTGATGGTTGTCACACTTCATCTACATACCAGCATCGCGGGCAAGCCTCGTTCGTTTCAGGAGTGGTTGGTTGGCACGCAAATGCTGTGCATAGTAAGTTTATTGAGTTCCGAGCGTGCACAATGTATGTCAGCCTCGTGTTGAGGTTGTTCGGTAACCATGTTGACTACCAGATTTTGTCTTTCACTAAGTGCCATGACATGGTAGCAATGAGTTGACGCTGCAGGGTTTGTTTATCCACAAAAGTGATTGCTTGAATCCTATCTCCTACTCATACTTAAGAACGATCACTTTCCTCATCCGCATACAACTCTGCAACTCTCCCTACAACTACAAGCACCCCCAAATCAGCGCACGCTTCCCTAGCCATGAAGAAATCAGCCATGTGTAGCAGGAAGGTCAAGGCTCACATCTTTCCAAATCACAAACGAAGCGCTAAACAGCCCAATACCCGAGCTAGTAATCGAGTGATGTCCATGGAGTCACTCACAGCCCGTCTTGCACTAGTCCCGAACAAAACTACGAAATCTCCCATATCATCTTGCCCCGGCACCGAGACGCGAGCGAGGATGACATCGCCTGCAACGAATGTCACGCGGTCTTTGGGCACTTCCGATGGAGAAGATCCAGCTCATGCCATTCCCGCCGCTGACGAGCACCTGGACACGATCCCCGAAGCTATCGTCAAGCCAGATTCAGTGATCGAAACAATCCCAAATGTTCTTACTACACCAGACTTCAATACTGAGGGGATGATCAACGGCGCTGTGTGGTTGGTTCTGGAAGGTGTGAGCTGCGATGTCGACGCATCCGATGGGTACAGCACTCCGCCTTCGGAATCCTCCACAGCAGCAGACAGCACGTTGCTCTCCCCGACCTTGATGAATGAAAAAAGACCGCGATGTCGGCGAGGGAACCGGCGGCGACGAGGACTGCGATAACGACGAAAATTATGGCAGCGACGAGAAGAGCGACTGCGACCACCAGCGCCATCACCACCCCCACCCTCTACAAGCCTCCGCTATACAGGCAACGGGAAAGAGGAAGGACATCGAATTACAAGGACATCAAGCCTCGAATTCGCGCTGCACCCGCGTCGGCCTTCCTCCTCTCTCAGTCACACCAGCGCCAGGAACTGCTCTTGGACTCCTCGGACCATCGTCCGTACCTACCGCGTTTCTCTCAACCTACACAAACGAGGTAAAGATAGCCAGGATTGAACCATACGGCGTGCCTGAAGTTCCAGCCTACGCTCGTTCTTCGATGTCGTCGTGGTTTCACTCCCCAGCCAATTCTTCGATTCAGGGCACTGTCCAAGGTCTTCCCCTCCCAACTAGACGTCGCCGTACTCACCAAGTTGAGCCGCGTCCTTTTGCGCGCAACAAGAATGAGATCACTCCGCACAACAAGCCAGAGGTACCAAAGGAGGGTCCGACTCCGTGGGTGAAACGCTTGCCAATGTACAAAGCGGTAGTAATGTCGGGCTTTGACAAGAAGTAAGGACTATTCTTCTTGCGTAATATACGCTTCTTTCGGACAAAGGGCTGGATAGTTTTTGTGGAGTCAATACTGCGTCGAGGAGCTGACCGGAGATCGATTTGTTGATTCCTTGTCATACGTTCGATTCCATGCTTTACTACAGTGATGATCCGAATGCGTTGCTTTTACTCATAGATACTATTGTGTGGTGATACAATGAAGCAGTACTGCGTCTTATTCACTCAACGCCTATCGATACATAAAATGTTTTCTTAGATTCGCCTTGTAACAAACCATGAGATGGTCACAATTCGATCCTTTCGCGAGATACAACGACATCCGCAGTTTTTCGCAAAATGCGCAAGCGCGAGATGTCAGAGCGCAGAGTCGTCATTGAGGCCGCGCATTGGTAGCCTGGAATTCTATGACCACTTGTCTTTCAACGCGATCGGCATTGTTCCAGACATTGATCTGTTTGTCTTTCACAGCGCACCCACGCTAGCCACTAATCACACACTGAACAATGAGGCGACTGCTTTGTACATTTGAAGCGCCACCTCGTGCTAGCCACGGTATTTATCGTTCTCAAATAGCGACAGCACTGCCTCACTACCACGATCCATACAAAAGCTTCCAAATAGGGTACCACAAGCAACCAGACCCACAACTTATCTACCAAAAGCTCATCACGCTCCATTGCCAACATGGGAAACGTCGGACACTTCGATCCGCTGGGCGAAACAGTGCCCTCCGATACCGTATACACACTCGCAGTGTATGTTCCGCCCCGACCCGACTCTCTCTCCGAGCACTTACCAAAGTTCCTCACCCGCACACCAGTCAAAGCCGAAGCGCATGTCTCCATGATCCGATCTGACGCCACAAATCCAAACCTGGACTGCTTCGAGCGCAAGCACTTGGACTACATCAAACTCAAGAACATCAAGATCAAAATGGCGTTGTTCCCTATTGACATGAGATGTCAACATCTCCGATACAGTATCACCTGCGCTGAGGGATGCTACTTCATGGAGGAAGGTGGAAAGCATTCAAGGAGTAAATGCAACCGAGAAGACTGTCAGGGTCATGTATATCAGGGAATCGTGCAAGAAGACGACGAAGGCAGGAAGTGTTTCGGGAGGAAGGGACAGCGTATGGTATGCATGAAGTAGCAGACGAGCAAGGAGACGAGGCAAGCAGAGGCTGATTGCGATGGTCTTACAAACAGCTCGTAAGTCTCTTATGTCTTTTTTTTACGTTTTGTTAAGGAGCGGTGGCTGGAATTTGCGAGTAATGAGCGTCTTCTCCGAAAGCATTGGTCACACAGAGCTCGGTACGCATGATCGATACCCAACTACTAAAACAAGTAAAAATCGATTCATTTCTTCTAAAGATTTTGTTTGCTACTTCATGCTATACTGCCGTGATGACACAAATTTGATGCTTTCTGTCATGGCCATCTGGTGGTCTCATTGTCCCACACGTAGAGTCTTTCAGCTCGAAGAGGCTTGACTATCACAAAGAATAATGTTCCAAAGGCCGCTTCAAGATGTGCTCAATCTGATGTGCGAAGATCCTGTTCCATTGGTTCTACAATGGTGTTGTGATTAGCATGACCTTTCAAGTCAACAACATGCGCGGGGCGCATGCGCTGCAACTATCAAGTCACACTAGAAGCATCGACTCTAGTGAGTCAGTATGATTCATTGGCGATGATTGTGATCTCAGTCAGCGATGTGTTTGTACTTGAAGAACAATGACACGACTCTTTTGTCTGTATATAAAGCACAATCTCACGCCAGCCAAAATATCTATTGCCCACTGATATCCACACAATGATGCTACTAGATCATGGCTGCCGACGCCCCAGTCACTTCCCAAATGTTCAGCACGGACGACTAAATCTACAAATTACCGGAACGATCGGGAACTACAGGAGATGTTAGGTAACACGATAAGGGCAGCGAAAGCCTTAAGACAGTTAAGAAACTCCATGTACATGTTCCACCAAAGTCTGAAGCCGTGCGTACACCTACGATACTAGATAAGCTCACATCGAGCCGAAATTTTGATACGATCGGAGAAGCCGAGGCAAGAACTCGTTTCTCTTCTGACCCAGGTCATCCAACAATGGGCAGATCTAGAAAGCTTAGAAATTCGCAAAATCAAAATCAAGACAAAGTCTCTTGATGTTGACTCCAAGTGTAGACATCTACCGCTTGGCACACTCATCTGCGTTGAAGGATGCTACTTGATGGAGAGAGGCACAAAGTCAATAACAAAAAAGTACGCAAGAGAAGACTGCCAGAGTCAAATTTATCAGAGAGAAATAACACAATACAAACCTTAACACCTGAACGTCGTCGGACTCTGGACGTGTTTTGGAAAGAAAGGCGAGCGAATCGTGTGTATGAAGGACTAGAAACGTAAGGCGACGAAGGAGAAAGAGATCGCTAAGCGCGTAGATTAACCCTAGAGTTTCTATACTGATATAATTGTTTTACGAAAACCACAACATTTTGAGAATTGTGCTGATTACATTTGACGATTACAAGAAGAAGGCACCTACAGCCGCACCCAAACCAGCCAGCGCAGGCGCCATGGTCTTCATCGGCGCGGCACCTCCGGTAGCCTGTTGCGCAGATGGAGATAGGATTGATAATGACGCTGAAGTTAGCGATGTACTTCCAGTGGTGACCGAAACGCTACCCGCGTTGGGTGTCGCAGCGGCCGACGCTCCAAGCTTCTCAGTGCCCGCCGTAATAATCAGCGGGAAGTTGTTGATATAGTATTGCGACTCCCCGGCCAAGGTCTACGTCTCTATCGAATCGATGGCACTGGAAGCGGTGCAGTATCCTGGTAACGACGTGACTGTCATCCCAGCGCAAATATCGCCGAACATATCCCCTGCGCCGAGCGTCGAAAGCGTGCACGTAGGCATAGCGCTGATGCCTCCACTCGATCTTCGGCATTCAAGTTCAATGGTGATTGAGAAAGCATCCGCAGGTGCAAGCGAGGCTCCTCCATCATTTGCACTGACATTGTAGGCGACGTATGTGGTGCCACCTATGGTGACTTGCTGTGGGGCACTGCGAAAGAGGTCGGGTGTGATGGCCGCGTCGGCAAAAGCGAGCGACAAGACGGTCGAGTCGCCGGAGTGTTCAATAACAGATCCAACGAATGTTGCATCCGCATTAGCAGCGCCGGGCAGCCAGATGGACGTTGTGATGTTCGCAGCATTGGCGGCTGCAGCGAAGATTGCGCCGTAAAGTATCGCGGACATAGTGACTAACACAACAGATCTCGTAATGTGCCTTCCTGGGAGTCCAGAAGAAAAGCGTAGCTGGAACTTTCGAAGCTTTGAAACTTTGCGAATACTGATTCCGCGACTTTGAGAAATTCACAGCAACATGGCGATGCGTCAAGCTTTGTCCAGCGCATCATAAAGCATGGATGAGCCGCACGGTCGCCAATGGCATGGAGAAAGGCAAACTAAAAGCAAGGAGTTGCAGTGGCTTGAAATCGCGATCTTGGCGGAGGCTTGAGTTCCATGTCAACGAAGCGATGAGTGGCGGACGAGTGACAGAAAAGGAAATGCCCGAGTCGTGGCGTCCTTTGTGACTTGTTTCATGCAGAACGCGCGACATGGTTCGCACTGGAGAATGTGTCCTCGTTCATCAGGAGAAGCTGGGGTATTTCGACCAGGCGATGCGCGATTCAAATGCATGAAGCCTGTTCGAAGTGGTGACGGGGCACGGCGAGGTTCGCAATTGAGATTAGGTCCATCCCGCCCAACCATGGTCAGAAGCAGCGGTGAGCATTGAAGACGCTAAATAACTACCAGCCAGTATATGAAATGCGATGTAGTTCTAGGGTGGAGGCGACAAGCAGACCTTCGGAGCAATGGAACAGTTCAACAATTGTTGTGCAGGCAAGCGTGCACGTGGTGGACATTTGTTTCTAGATGCAGTGACGTCATTCTCCGTAATTTGTGGCGAGGATTCACTTGCTGAATCGACCACTGCAAGATGATTGTATTCCCTCATAGAATGTCAACACTTCCCTTCAATTCGTAAGATGTTATCGCGGTTCTAACGCACGTGCTGTAGCCTCCTCTACGCCAGCGGCGTTCTGTTCGCCGTGGCCTAGTTTGGGAAGAGAAGTCTTTGCGGGAGGAGCAAATGTTCCACGAGAACTTCCATTTCCTCTAATATGCGGCATTAATTCAGCCCACCATTCCTTTGAACCAGTTCTTCATTGCATTCAGTAGCCAGCTTCGTAATTTCTCGATTTGAATCCGCGCCTTCGGCCGCTTGCGAAGTTGTAGTCATCGTCATCGTGATCTCGTGCACGCAGCAACTCTTTCGACCAACCCTGGAATGGCTTCTTCAGGGCTGCGATTAAGGCGCAGGATCTTTGGCTTCTCGATTGAGGACGCCGAGCGGCGACTGTGATGGAAGAACCACGACTTGATGGCCACGATGCTGAAGTGGACATGGTTGGATGATGCGATAAGATGAAGGTAGTGTAAGGGCAGTATTGAAGAATGACTCCAAGTAAGAAACGTGATATGTCTGATAGAAGAATGAGTACCGCCACTTTTTCGTCATTATATACCCTCATTGCGATGGCGACGACCGCGACTGCTTCGGGCGTGTCGACAACACCGAGCCATCGCCGAGGCAGGCCGGGGAAATGCCAACCCGTTACATAGGCCAGAAGGCAGCTTTTTGGATTCGTGACCACTCATGAGATTCGAAATGTGCCTTTAGATTAATAGTTGTCAGGAAGATTCTTCGATTGGGTGCGGCGGGTAAACGCTCGCAAAACCGGGGTGACTAGGCGACAAGAATCGGATACTGAGACGTAAGATACTTTCTCGAATTTCCTGGCACCACAATGCCATCACTATCAAATTAATACTTAAGCGATGAAGCAAGTGTACAGATGGGCTTCTGTGAGTCATTCACGTGGTAACACAACCGTTGGTCACGCCGCAATACGGTCAGTTGGCCGACACATCACACGACCGAAACGCGAAGCAGAAGACATGATCGAGCTCACGGAAGCGCAAACAGCATTGTTTTAAAATATTGTTAGTGCATTGAAGTATCTTCAGGGACACTAACTGTCCTACTTCAAGACTTATGCAAGTCATGGGCCTGCTGATGACCAGTGAGGCAAGCAACCCTACGCGTTGGGCGGCTCCGTACTTATCTTTCGCGCGAGCAAATTGATGGGCTTTTCGAAAGGAACGGGTCGAACTTGGTCGAGTATGACTTTCTCGAAAAGAGTAAAGAACACCCGCAGCAGTTGTCATGGTTGCTGTGTTGGTGAGAATGGCTTTTGCTAAGGGCGAATTTACAAAAAAGGGTTTGTGGGTCATTGGGGCTGGGAATGTGAACAGTTATTAGTGGCATTGTGTCACCTGCTTTGGCAAGTCATCTCCCGGTGACTGTACACAAACAAGGTGAGGTGGAAGTCCTCGTACGTGAGTTAGGGACAGGTGAAAGGTGCGAGCGAAAAGCATATATTAACGTAAAGAAAGTCATGTCACTACTATCAGAGTAGCGTGCATCTTTACACTTCATGTCATGCCCATCGTCGATTGAAGGCATGTCTATGGAGCTATTATGCACATGCGACATTCGTCACATGCATAACGCTTGCGTCGCTTTCCGAATAGCATCTAGTCATCGATCCCATATCTAGGTACCAGCCAAGAGTACCTGGGGTATCGCCTCTAAGTTTGCCTAACAGCTGAGCTGCTTGGTCTCTTCCACAGATCTATATTATACCTTCGGTAGATGTACCACTTGTTGCCAAGCGTCTCAGTATCATATAAGACGAGTGGGCAAACTCGTGTAGCTTACCAATGAAAGGAGGTCCGATGTGCAAGAACATATAAGAACAATATGCAACAACACCCCTCCGACTGGCCTACAATGTACGCTTGGTGCATTTAAGTTCTGTGTTTACGTCAACTTGGTCGATTGTGATATCACAATATCATGCCACCACCCTCTCACTGCCATGGCCACGTTTGCGGGAAGTGATGCGAATACGAGTGGGGCATGGAAGGGAGCGTCCGCTCACAGGGACGGTGGGGAAGTCGTTATACGATGTTGGATCCACAAGTGAGTTATTCAACAAGAGTAATGGTAACCTGCAATATCTCGGCGCCGTATGACGGCGAAACGACAACGTCTGATGTTCTCGGTAGTTGAAAGCTGACAACCCCTAGGATCGTTTATGTCAGCTGTCCGAGATCCCGTGAGAAGAAGCGGTCTCATTCTTGTCGCAGCTCCAAGATGGGTAAGGGTCGAGTTGGAGAATTGCGGACATTGACGCGTGGAACATGTCTTTGTCCTGCGTGTAAAGAAACGTGAAATTCACGGAGATTCTCTGCAGACTGGATATCACGCAAAGCATCAGCGCTTCCCGAGCAATCGGCACGACTTTGCGATGGTCACATAACGAGCATTGGGTGGCCGACCAATGCCAATGTGGCGGAAAGTTTCCCGAACAAGATTTCGCGAGTGGCGGAAAATCTACTCGAGGCCAGTGTTGCGAATACGATGCGTGGAGTTACACGTTGCTCTTGCCAGCGATGAGTGCGAAAGGTGACAATAGTATGTCGCATTGATCTGCTGGTGAAAGCGACTGTACCCACGCCAGCGACAACTGAGCAGCTCGCGTCTCGGCAGGCTCGTCCATTCGTGAATGTGGGGTTGTTGTGGAGGCAACCGCTTCCAAGTTAGCGAAAGACGTCAGGACCTCGGGAGGGTGCCAGCGCGCAAGTCCCTAAAATAGCACAAGCATGGACACATATGGAATTACCCCGAAGCCAAAAGGGAATTACCCCGAAGTCACACCCATTAAATCCACTGGATTTTCGCAGCAGCCTCGTATCTGCGCCACTCCAACATTATTGAATGACGTTCAGCAGGGTCCAAGCAGTGCGATCTAACCATGGAGGTGGTTGATCTTCATGTCGAGAATCGGCAGCACCAACGCTGCGGGCATACATGATCACGAAGAAGCTTGGGCGCTCGGCCAAACAGCCCAACCCATGCGTTTCGGTACGCTCGGAAATCAAGACATGACGATGTCGAGAAGTCTAGAGATTACGCTGTGAGCAGTAAGAAGTATAAGAATAAAGTATTCCACATCAACTTTTCGACATCCACCACATCCAAACTCATCACACAATCCCATCCACCCCAACTCTTCAAACACAACGACCAGTTCCGATTCATCCAACATGGTTTCATTCACAACCCTCCTCGCTTTCTCAGCCGCCTCCGCCGGTGCGCTCGCAAAGCCAGTCGTTCAAGAACGCCAAATCGCCATCCCCGAGGGCTGGACATGGCACGTGAGTGCGTGGGAAGCTGGAATGACTCGCTCCGGCTCTTACTACCGCTTCAACGTGACGGTACCGAGGGTCGAAAGCGAGACCACCAACATCGCTGGCGTTACGGCACGCTGCGAAGGCCGCGAGAACGGTTGGTACAGGAAGGGCAACTGGTACGAGAACTGCCGCATCATCTACGGTTCGAACAACGGAGTCGCCGCCAAGCTGAGCGAGAGAGAGTCTGATGTCGACGGATACCCAAGGGAGATCCTGATCAGCTTTGAATATGGCGCATACGGAGACCGGTAAGTGCGCTTTTGTCGCGCGTCGTGAATTCTTTGCTGACGAAGTGTAGACCTGCATACAACTTTACTGGCAAGGCCCCCATGATCTACAACGCCGCAGTTGCACCTCTCCAGGAGTTCGACGTTAAGCCTACTGAGGTCTTCGGTGTCGCATAGACCTCACTATACAAATTCCATGTAAATAGTAATCGTAATCACTTCATCGCAACCATGTTCCACACTCGCATCCTTCCATGTCGCGCGCCACGGGTGGCGCCCGTGGCGCACGGGGAACGCCCCACAATCCTTCAGCAACTCTCTGATTATCTCGACTCGCACCCCATCGCGACATGTCTAACATTACACGCACGCAAATCGCAGGTAGTCACAGCCTTGAAGCCGAACTATTCATGCCCTGAATTCTTTATGCTGAGGTATTCCAGACGATCAGCTGAGTTATCAGAGCCTGGAGTCCTCACGTCGGCCCGGTCGACATCTCAGCTAGGCTCTTAACCCCATGCGCCCATGATTCAATCGTCAACGGACCAAGCGCGCGCGCAGAACATGTCGCCCTTCTCCTTCCGAAAAGAGCTGCACCTTTCTATCTTGTCTTTGGTATCTTGGACGGAATCACCCCGCTCGGTCGCCGTCACCGAGGAGCCAATCGACCAAGGTGGTCCCCCAAAGCCCTTTCACATATACTTGCCCGCTGCGCTCCCCATGTCCAGTCCCTCTAGCTGTCGATAAACGTCAAGAGTCGTGGGATGAAGCACAGCGTCAGGCACAGAAGGTCAAGCATGTTGTAGTGGTGCCGTGTGAGGATCATGCATCTGAAAACAGTAGCGGAGACCCTTTCTTGTTCCGCTTCGATATCGACATTTTGCACTGCTGGATCAAGATACGTTGTCGCAAACAGAGGCTTCTAACCACTGGTGGACGTCGCAGTCGAGAATGAGAGTAGCCTTGTAAACAGTAACTGGCCTGACATACTGGACTGGCTCCCACAGTTCAGAGGCATCGTCATGATACTTACTTTTGAGTGCGAGCCTTGACTATCTTTCACGTCGAGCCGGACATCCCAGTAATTCTCAAAGACGCGAGCAATTCCCCAGAGCCAAACGAGTATGTGAAGTATTACGGCCACGTGTTTGGTCGATGTTCGCGGACAAACTCCAACTTCAAACCTTGCGCACGCGTAACCTAGGAATACCGTCGCTCGATGAATGCGTAATCTACGCTCAGTCTGCAAAGCGCCGATAGCATGCTCGACAAGCGATGATATTGGATTCATGCTCCAGCGAGCTTACATGGCATGCATTGTTCCTGTAGCAGATTACGGAAGCTAGCACTTTGGGTTTCGTGGAATGACGGCTGCTCACTTCTGTCGCTCAATGAAGCGCGGTGTTCCACAATCGCCTGCTTCTCGGATTTCTTTCGGGTGCATGTGACGCGCCCGACAAGTGGCAGCCTACTTAGGTACTCTTCATATCATCGCTACCCTTGTGGGTACCTGCAGCGCAGACGATAACTCAGCTGCCATCCTGTGGTCTGCAGCCGGGCAGATCCCTACCATCGCGTACTCGTTAGCGCATAATACCTACTGCAAGCTTGCAAGCTCGCTAGCTCGCTTAACAGCATTTGGCCTCATCCTGTTTCAACTTTCAAGATATACCTAGGTAGCCAAACATGTTCGTTCGCCATCAGGAATACAAGCAAATCTATGCACAGTCTCGCTCGCATGAGAAGAGCATTTGAAAGATTCGTACCGCGTCGAAAACTCACAACGCGTAAGCGGCTATTGTCCTCACTCAGGCGGAAGATTTTCGTGTCCCCAGATTGTAAACAAGTCTCCGCCAGAAAGGCCCGACGATCGCAGATTCGCCAAGAAGGCCAACCGCCCAGGTACCGGCGCTATCATACTGAAGGCCAATCACGTCAGCTATCGCGAAGCTCTCCTATCGAATGAAACACTCCGGTTGCACAGGCGGGAAGACTCCCGACTCTTGGCAGCGGATCAGACGTTCGATTAGGAAGGTAATTTACCGAGGTGTGTAAGGGCCGTTATCTATGATTTGTCCATGCAGTATCATGGCTCTAGTCTCACCATTATACACTACTTGCTCGCTATCTCGTCTCCCGCTCCTTCCTGTTAGGCTACTTGAATCGCACAGCGTAGGGGTATATGCACTTTCTCGAACTGCCTGTTCCGGAAAGCTGTTTCGATAGCATGTAACATCACGAGGCAGATTTCTTGTCAAGTGCCTGTTGGGGAGAACTACTATGGGCTGGACTCTTGTGAAGTTCCCTTTGGAGCTTACCCTCCCGATGCGGTTGAAACAAGCAACTCTACCTTGTGGCGAATGTGGCAGGAGACCCTTGGCATCAGTCGGAGCAATTAAGGACTCTTGTGAATTGCCAGTTTTGGTCTACTTTCCGCTCTTGCTGGGACACGCAGCATCACCGTGCAGCGAATGAGGAAGGAGAGCATTAGGCCTTTGCCTTGGACGACAATGACCGAAGCTTGATACCGTCTGTGATATCTGAGCTGCTCTGAGTATAAGTAGGGCTGGAGTTCCATCTCCATAACGACATCGCAGACTCAGCTTTCTTCGATCTCATCACTACAGCATCACAGCCTCGCCTCTTCTGTCTCGTTTTCAATACCGCCATCATGCAGATCAACAGCTTCCTCGCTGCTCTCGCAGTCTTCCTGCCCATTGTATATGGCGCCCCTACCGCCGCTGCCAACACCCTCCACCCCGAGATCCTGGCTGCCATGAAGCGCGACCTTGGACTTGACGCTGCTCAGGCCCACGCCCGTGTTGCTCGTGAGCTCAAGGCCACCGATGTCATCGAGCAGCTCCGCACTGCTGCCGGCTCCTCTTTCGCTGGTGCTTGGCTCGTTGACGGTGACCTCAGTGTCGCCGTTACCGACGAGGCCCTGACCTCTGATGTCACCGCCGCTGGCGCAAAGGCGTTCGTCGTTGACACTCCCCTTGAGAAGCTCGAGAACGCCAAGAAAGCTCTCGACGAGATGGACATCTCCGCCCTTGGCAAGCGATCTGAGGAGGCTGCCAGCGGCATCGCCTCCTACTACGTCGATGTCGCCTCGAACAAGCTTGTGCTCGAGGCGCTTTCCAGCAGCAGTACCCAGGCTGCTGACCTCGCCAAGAAGGCCGGTCTTGTCGAGGGTGAGTACGAGGTCAAGACTGTTGAGGCCCTGCCAACCGTCCTTGCCACCGTCCGTGGTGGTGACGCATACCTCATCAACCGTGGCGGCCGATGCTCTGTCGGTTTCTCTGTCACCACCGGTTTCGTCACCGCTGGTCACTGCGGTACTGCCGGCGCCGCTGCATCCACCACCGGTGGTGCCAGCACTGGAACCTTCAGTGGTTCGTCCTTCCCCGGAAACGACTACGCCTTCGTCCGTTCCACCAGCGGAAACACCTACCAGGGTGTCGTAAACAACTACAGTGGTGGCACCATTGCCATCTCTGGAAGCACCGCCGCCGCCACTGGCGCCAGCGTCTGCCGTTCCGGTTCCACCACTGGTGTCTTCTGCGGTACCGTCCGCGCCCTGGGCGCGACTGTCAACTACGCTGAGGGCCGTGTCACTGGTCTCACTCAGACCAACGTCTGCGCCGAGCCCGGTGACTCTGGCGGTTCTTTCTACTCTGGCTCCCAGGCCCAGGGTGTCACCTCCGGAGGATCTGGCAACTGCAACAGCGGAGGTGTCACCTACTTCCAGCCCGTTAACGAGATCCTCTCCGCTTACGGCCTCACTCTTGTCCGCGGTTAAGCCGTGGTTGTTGTTGATTCTGGCTTGTGACGAACTTTTCAGGTCGGGTATTTGAGTTGTATATATTTCAATTGAGTCACATATCTATATCTTTGCGCCCGCCCTTGCATTCTTGATTTGTCGTGAATGACACAACATTGTCACAACATTCTCACTTTAGATTCTGGAATGGCCAGTACAAAGTCGTTCCCAAAGATGACAGCAGGTGTCTGGAATCCCGGTACAGCGATTCCAGCCAAAATCTTGCGCGCGGCTTCTACGGAAGCTAGTCCTGTAAATGTATACCCATTCACTGTATGTAGCACAGCATGAGTAACAGTTCCATCTCGTGCGGTAACCTTGACAGCAGCATGATAGGGTGCAGCCTCTCTCTCCTCCTTCGTTGGACCATCCGCCAAGGAAGGAAGGTCTCCAGTAGAAAAAGCATCGCTTGTAGTGTGGACGAAGGTCCGGATATTGCGCACACCGGTCGATTTCCAAATGGTGATGACATCCGGTAGCGTCGTCTGGAAATTGGCTACCGTGCCTTTGCCGTCGTGAAAATCAAGCTCAATGGTACTGACAATTTCTGCATGGACCAATGCTCCGTCGACACGCTGAAAGACATCCGCACTCATATTCTCCATCGCACTGATGGCCGATCCACGCGATATGGAACCAGAAATGCAGAGGGATATGTCAATGCTCGCTGGGCATTCGACTTGCTCGACAGCCTTGCCAGCGAGACATCCCAGCATGACTACGCTGCCACCACAGCCTGGCAACAGCATGACATTGGCGGATCGCGCTTCGCGGTCTTTCTTCTCAGCAAGCTGGTAGCTGTCGAGCTCAGCAGCAATGTCGAGATAGTGAACTCCTTTACGAATGCATGCTGCCATCAGTGGTTCAGCAGTGAGCATGAAGGGACCGGCGCAATTCAGTAGCACTGAAATCCCCTCGAGTGCGATGTCAATATCCTCAGGCGCTTTGAGATCAAACAGACGATAATTCGCACACAATTCAAAGGCCAGATCCTTGGCCTTGGTACTTTTGGTACGTCCGGCGACGATGAAGTCCAGGCCAAGACTCTTGGCGTGATGACTGGCGATGCGGCCTGTGTAGCCCGAGGCTCCGTAAATCAGCAGTTTTGACATTGTATCCGCTATGTTTAGTGTGGAAGAGTGCGTAGATAATCAAAGATTGTGGGAGCTCGACTACACCTAAGTAGGTACACATGCCAAGTTGCTCAAGCCTTGGCTTAGGGAGACATGTCGTGATTACATACCGCTATCCCATGCGCACGTGCACATGTAGGGTGGTTTAAATCACTCGGCTAAGTGGAAAAGCACTTCGTTATCTCCGCCAATCCGAGTTGCTCCCCTAGCGGACCCTGGCGGGTTTGTCCCCCCGGTCTGGGATTGCAGTGAAAGCACACCATCAATGCACGCTGCCGCTCCTCATTGCGGGTTCACCGAAACAAATCACTGGAGAGCTTGATCTGTACCAAACCCGTATTCCCGGGTCAGTTTCACTCCGCGCACATACTCGTCCGCCCCCAAAAACAGGTGCACGTAACGATCGCTAAGCACATCTCGTCGGGTGCTCCGACTTGCGATATTAGGTTGGTAATAGTAAATCTTGAGATTTTGCTGCGAAAAATGATCCAGAAGACATCGGAAATCTTTGTCACCCTTACTCCGCCGCTGCGTGCGAAGCAAAGTCAATGAATTTCGACGTGTGCTTACATCTAACATGCGAGGCCTATCTCCTATGCCCGTATTCTTTATGGTGAATATCTCAAAGTAATTGAATTTAAGATGTTGCAACTAATATATGAGTAGCTCCAGATCATCTCTCACTGTTGAAACATCATCTCCATCTTCCACCGACTCCTCACTCAACATTAGTATCGGCCCTGTCGTCTATTCAATACGTAAATCCACCTATCATCAATTGTCGAGTACCCTACTCCAAAACATCGCGATGGCAGCATCAACGGGCAGGGTCCTTCTTACTGGTGCGAACGGATTCGTCGCCTCTCATATTGTTCAAGGACTCATCAAACGTAACTACCATATCGTGGGTACTGTGCGCTCTGAACAAAAGGCCCGTGACGTAATCGCCCTCCATCCGTCCTGGAAGGATCACATCACTTGGGCCAACATTGCAGACATCGGAGTCACAGATGTATGGGAGGAAGTATTCAAGAGTGGTCCATTCGACTACATCATCCACAATGCATCTCCCGTAGACTTCACTGTCAAAGATTTCCAACTTGCGATGATCGATCCCGCAGTGAAAGGGTATGTGATCTGCTCAACGTCAAGGAAAAACAATGATACTAAGACTTGTGGTAGCACTACTTCGCTCCTTGAAGCCTCCCAGAGACTCGGAGGGTCTACTCTTAAACGAGTAGTGATATCCGGCAGTACGGCCAGCGTGTCTGACTACTTTCATCCGGTCAGCAAAGCACGGGAGCCATATACAGAGGCTGATTGGAATCAAGTCGGTATTTTCACACTTTCTCATTCGTAATGTTTCTAATTCGATGCTCGGGTGACTGCAGAGTACGCAATCGAGAAAGGCGATGTGGTTGCCGCATATGTTGCGTCCAAGACGTTAGCTGAGCGAGCTGCCTGGAAGTTCATGGAAACGAACAAACCAACTTTCGGCATGACAGTGCTGAACCCCTACGTCATCATTGGGCCGATGCTTCAGCCGGCGGCCGGTCCTGATAACGTGCCAAGCACAAATGTGTTTCCGGTCTTCAACTTCCTCAACGGGACGTACAGAGATATCGAAACCCTGACTTTTCCAGCCTGGCATTATGTAAGTCGCCATTTTGGAAGTTAACAGCAATTTTGCTAAATGCAAGCAGGTTGATGTGCGCGACGTTGCCCTCGCCCACATCCTATCTATGACAGAACCCGCGACAAACAACAAGCGCATCTTGCTTGTTAGTGGGCTTATCACTCCCCAGAGCATCATCAACATTATCCGGAGGAACTTTCCCGAGTTACACGACCGAGTTATTGAAGGAGTTCCCGAGAAGTTGATGCCAGACGGAGTTGAGCCGACGGACTGGGACGTTCGCAGGAGTTTCGAAGTCCTTGGGAATACGTGGAAATACATCCGCCTTGAGGAGACGATCGTTGACACGGTAAACGACTTCTTAGACCACGAGAAGAGGTGGGCTGAAGGATTTTAACCTGAAATTCCGAGATAGTCTAATAATTCACTACTTCATTACTTGCCAAGAGCTTCCAGACACCATCAGAGCTGCACGACACACAGCCACCCAAACAAAATTATGCAGCCCATATGAGTATAGCACACAGAAAATTAGTGGTTCGAAGTATAGCATGCTGATACGAACATAATTAGTGCAGCAAAGAGATACAGCATAAAGAGTGTATAAACCATGTACACTCATTATGTTAGGGTTATATTAATTAAGTTTCACTCACGGTATAGTTTAGAATAAGGAAATACACAATAGGTGCGTTTCATATGCTATATTCAGGATAGCAGAGGACATCTAGCTAGCATTGAGCGTAAGTCCTACCAATCCCAAACATAGCTGATGTAGATAGCAAACTGTAGGAAAGAAGCCTCCCGAAAGATTAATCGAAAAAGCAACGTGCGCACTTCGTGTAAGATCAATGTCAGCAGAGCGGCTTTGTAACGCAGCTGCATGCACAAAGTTACCTGAGATAATCTTCATACGGGGAACAACCTTGCAAAGTTCTAGCGCATGCCGAGATAACATAGCATTCTATACATATTAGGATTTCTGATATTAGGTCGATAACAGTGCTAAGCTAGCCTATGCACACCTAAGAGTTAAGCAATATTATAGCAGAGTTAAGCAATATTTTAATAGAGTTAAGTAATATTATAGCAGAGTTAAGCAATATTTTAATAGAGTTAAGTAATATTTTAATAGAGTTAAGTAATATTTTAATAGAGTTAAGTAATATTTTAATAGAGTTAAGTAATATTTTAGCAGAGTTAAGTAATATTTTAATAGAGTTAAGTATTTTAATATCTTTTAGTAGCTAAAATTGCATATAAGTAGAGTATAGCTACTACTAATATTATTATAAGAGGTTATTAGAGATATTCTAAGTCTTATTATAGTAATATTAAAGAAAAAGTAGAATAACTTTACTTACTTTTTTCTTTTCTCTTAATACGAACTATTATTAAATAATAACGCTATCTCTAATAACCTATATATTTATACTATATTATATTATGCTAATATTATTACTATCTCTAACTTTCTTAACTAATTATTAACTATTACTAATAAGTAAAAGAAATTCTATAGAGTCTCTGTCCTTAAGTCTACCTGCATTTCTAGTGAGAATGCAGAGCTTAGCTAATTAGAATAGGCCTTAGCAAGGCGCTATATTGTAGGAATGCAACGTAGAAATAAATAACCTTCTAGAGGGAAATAATATATTTCTAAGAAGCTATTTTGTGCAGTTTTATAAGAGGAATCTAGATCTCTAAATAGTTTATTCATAGCATTAAAATTCGTTATAATATAGGCATTTAAAGTTAGAGAGTTTGCTTTAGTGAGGAACTTTAAAACTTAAGCTGCTACTCTAGGCCTGCTAGCGCTAACGTGCTAATACTCTACTTCTTAGCTTAGTAAGCCTTAGCTATAATTGCAACACTTATTACTTTATTTAATACTAGCTAATATCCTTAATTACTTACTCTCTTCTTAAGACAGCTTATATTTAATAATATTTTAAGTATTTAATTCTAATTCTTTATTGCCTATATAATTGCTATATATAATTATGCAGGCTTAAGAAGACTCTACTTTATTACTATAATTTACTAGCGCTTATGCGCTACTTTACTACTTCTCTAAATTTAGCATAATTATTTGCACCTAGCATAGAGGCATAAGAAACTAGAAAGCTTATCTAAACTGCAGTTATTTAGTACTACCTAAGATCTGCAACTAAGTTAGCAGAGAGAAAGGCTTCTTAGAACTGCTAGTATTATAGATTATAAGTTCTTATAATATTACCTACTCTACTTATAGTAGAGAACTAATTGCGCTTCTAGCAAGACCTAATTTATGCATAGCAATGCAAAGAGCAGCGCTATAGCTATATTAGTACTAACTAAAGAACTATAGCCTAATATTATAATAAAGAGCACTAATAGCAAAGCTTACTAGCAGTAAGAGAGTATTAGCAGAGAGTAAAAGTCTAGACACTCTTTAGAACTAGTAGCTATTAGCGCTATTTTACTATAGTAACACCTAGTTTAGGCACTCTAGACTCTAATTATATAGAGACTGTTAAAAACGTATCCTTAAATTCTAAGATAACTACTATCTTAGCTAAATACTAGAACGCTTAGTAACAACGACTTAATATGTATAATATTGCTAAAGCTATTATTTCTAGAATAGATTAAACTAGCTAGTTTACTAGGAATAGCTAGTAAGAACACCTTAGAAAATATAACCTAAAATAACTTTACTAGGCAAGCTAGCTACCTAATTACTATAATACTTTATTATAATAGGCAGTTAGAGTAGTAGACTTAGCTATAGAGTAGAGAGTAGCTAGTCTTTCTACCTTGCCTCTAGAGACCTGCCGCTAGTTAAGAAGCTCTAAGAAGATAGAGATTAAGACCTAGCCTATAGGACGCCTTTAGAATAAAGCATCCTAATAGCGTTATACTAAATATCTAAAGCGCTTTACCTGCTACTGCTTTAGAGTTGCATAGGCAATCTATAAGGAAGAAATTACTAGTAATACTTAAATGCCTATAGCTGCTATATAGGACCTGCTAAGCTCTTTCTCTAGCTCTAATTTAAGTATAAATACTTTAACTTAGCTAATAATACGTTAACATCTGCTGCATAACGCTGTAGCTTTATTTCTCTAGTAAGAGAATTAACTAGAGCTTATAATAAGCTTTATTTAATCTCTAAATCTTAATAATAAGAGCACTTAAATTTAGAAGCTTATTAAGCTACTAGAAGCTTTTATTTTCCAGCATATTAGCAGCAACTAGTTTTCTAGTAGGCTTATTTATTTTCTAGCTATCTTAGGCATTAACTTATATACCTACTAATTACAGCGCGCTGAAGATTATTTAGATATACTAGTAAGTATAGTATACTGCCTTAGAGTAATTGCAGTAGAAGCTATCCTACTATCTGCTACCTAGAAGCAATAAGGCTAGATAGAGCAAGAATTCTTTTACTAATAATGTAAGAATTACCTTATTAATAGTTTATACAGCCTATTTAGTATTATAATTAGCTTCTTAGCCTATGCTAAACATATTACATTTAATAAAAGTAATAAAGCTAATACTCTATAGTCTTAAGATTATACTATCCTCTATTTTTATAGCTAGCCTCTTGTTATTAAGCGTTTTAAGAGCATAGTATTAGGTCTAGTAGAGGCTAAATAAAATAATCTCTAGAAAGACCTTATATTTATTCCTCTTACAGTAAACTACTTTAGTCTCTCTATTATAACTATTTAGAATAATGTTTGCTGCAAAGTTAGAGAGTACTTCTTTCTTACTAACAAAGTAAATAATCTTAGTAATAGCTTTAAATAGACTCTTAACTAACTTCTTACTAGCTCTACTAGCTAACAAATGCGAGCTTAAGAGATATAGATATACTTAGCTGTTTGCAAATTTATTAAGCGAATTAACTCTTTTTTAGAGCTTCTCTTTCTATTAGTATATATAACTAGTAGCTAACCTGCAAGAGAAACTAAGATTGCATTAGTAAGATAGCGCAATAACTACGCTTAAGACTATAATATTTACGTAATTAATAGCTAAGTTGCCTTTATTACCTAATATAACAAGACTTAGTTATAATAGAATTAACTAAAGATTATCCTATGCTTTCTACTCTTAGCAGTTAGGCAGATACTACTTCTTTATCTAGTATATATCTGCTCTTTGCGCGAATACCTTTGCTGCACTATTCTAGGCAACTCTTATAGCAACTACTTCTAGTTAACTAATACTAGAGCTTAGGAGCTAGATTAGTTTACTTATGTTATGTAGAGAGAGACTAGGACTTATCTTAGATATACGCTTAGATTGCTAGAATATTGCTATGCTATCTCTATAATTAGACGCTAGTTTATTAGAAAAGACTTTTGCTATAGTATGTATAATCGCAACTCTTAAGAAGATTCTAAAGAACTAGAGGAAACTAAATTAGAGAGCAGAATTAATCTCTAAGTAGACTGTATAGAACGAATTAGACTATAAAGCTATAGTATACTAATAGATATAGTAAAGAACTTAAGCTTATGCTTAATATACTTCTTCTAGGCCCTAAGTAACTACTAGCATGAATTTCTTAAGTTAGAATTCTTAGAGCCTTATACTAGAAACTCTTTAGGCTAAGAGCTATTAAAAGTTAGTATAATCTTGCTACTTATCTCTAGCTATCCTACTCTAAGGCACTAGCTACAAAGCATAGAGCATCTAGGTATAAACTCTTAACTACTAACTAGCTTAGTTAAGCGTCTAGTAAAACAGCTACGCTTGCGCTAGGCATTAGTTAGCAAAACCTCTATTAAAGCTGCAATAAGCAAAGCGCTTAATTAACCTAACTTAGCGTATAAATCCGCTAAGCAAGCATAAGCGTTAGAAGCAGTAGTTAGTAGCTAAACTCTAGTTATAGTTATACTACTAACTAGTAGTAGCAAAAGCTTACTTTTTCTAGCCTTAGCTTATCTTAAGAACCTAGAAGTTTTAGTTATAGTACTACTCTTCTAAGAGTTACTAAATAATATAAAGGAGCGCCTAATAGCTATAAGCATACTGCATCTAGAATAGTTAAGTAGCGAAGAGCTATTAGCTCTAGTTATATTAGTAAGCGCTGATATTACTAGCACCTAGCTTTTTATTAAATATGCTAGAAGACTTATATAGTAGAGTATCTTACGCAGGATTATAGTAGATAAGTGCTATCTTATATTTATAAGTAGTAACTATTAGAAGCGCCTAGCAACTCTGCGTAATCTTTGCTTACTTTAATGCTTATTTCTCTTTCTTATAGCTACGCAACTACCTTGCTTAGAGTATAAATTAAGCAAGGCTATGCTTATATAAACGCCTATCTATATCTAAGCTTCTACTATAAGACTAAACATTTGCTATCTAGTTTATATTTATACTCTAGGCAAGCTT